ACGGACTGGGCGAGGATCGAGTCTCTATGTAGGGGATGGGCGCGAAACGAGCTGGGAGTGGACCGACATGCTCACTTCCTAGGATTTCTCGATGCGAAACGGCCATGCTTTCTGGAAGTGCACGACCTAGCAACAGGGATTAAAGGGAAACATTGAACATATGGAAGGGAAGGGGTGGTGGGGTGAAAGTCCGTCAAGAGTCAAGAGTCAAGAGAGACGACAGATGGAGGAAATGGGGGTGAAGGAGCTTGCCACCATGACGCCCTCAAAGTCGGAATCGAAGGATTTCCAGTTGCTTGAAGAGGATTGACCCATGATCTCCGCAGCTTTTCTTCCGCCGATTCCGAGGGCTAGAGGATATTCGCCTCTGACTTTGGGCTACTAAACCTCCAGGCTAAGCCAGCAAACACGCGTGGTCGGGCAATGTTCATTGCGTCTCCGCAGCCACCCCAAACTCAGCAATCGATTTCGCTTAGTGGGAATGGATCCATGTAAGAGTGTGCTTTTTCTCTCTTGTACCGAAACGACTCAGTTTTGGCTCACAATCCTAAAGTAGGCTTTGGCCGATTAAATCACCCGGTGTGAGCTAGGCTCCATCTTACATATTGTCGGGAAGGGGTTTTTTGGGTTCTTTTCTTTTTATCTGCTTTCTGTTTCTTTTTCTCGACGCCAAGGAACGCCGTGGGCAATTGTTTGCTGACAATATTGAAGGCTGTGTAGCATGAGCATCCAAGTCATCGAGATGGATTTAGTGATCCTGGATGGAGTAGATGGATTTATCAACTTGATCGACCTGACAGAAGACCAGTGCACCAGCTAGCCGGCGCGCTCCGTGGCTGTTTGGAGACCAGATAGGCACACTTGGCACATCCATCTATGGATCCATCTATGGATCCATTTATTGATCATTCACTAAGGCCTCAGCTGGGCGCACATGTAAATATCAAGCACAATGAATGGGGCTATCAAGCTGTACGGAGAGAGTATCAGCCAAGGTTCAAAACCCCTCACTCCTGTCCGTTCACACTTTCCTGTTCAAAGTGCTTCCTTTCTCTTCATCACCCCATTTCCCACCCAGCCTTCGGCGAATCGGTGGGACGTGGGTCAGAGAAAAGTACAGTGGGTCGATGGGATAAACGAAGCAAAGGATTTTTTTCTTCTTCGTCTTTCCACCCTTCTTTCCCATCAGTTCGTACAGATTTTGTAACTTTCCCCTACAGTTGCCTCGTCGAACTAACGTGCCGACGTCACATCTCCCCTTTGCCTCCACTAGCTTCATCTGATACATTTGGAACATTGAAACAAAGGACGTGCTCCATGTACGCATGGATTTGCCTTCACCTCTCTTGAACGTCGCGCCAACGTATATTAGGGGAGTGAATAGAAGAAAAGGACGAGAGCGTGGCGATAGTGTTCTGCTCGTTGCACGGAAATCCATCAATTGATCGGGGCCTAGCAAGACCTACCCTCTTCCAACACCGCTCTTCAGCACATTGAACCATTCATCTCATGGGTGAAAGAGGGTGCTCGAATGCGGCCTAGGCCCGCCCCGACCAATATCCTAATAGTGTTCTGAACCACCTGTCGCAGCGCCCGATGTACGCGATCGAGCGCAAGACAGCTGGCTGACCCGGACGTTATGAGTCCGTTCGGGGTTCCGCCTCCATCATTGCAAATTGCCAGGGCCGGTCATCTCGATTTAGCGGGTGGTGGGAATGGGATTGACCGATTCGTAATTGATTTTTTATCGTCGCGATATTCTACGCATCACATCTATGTATGGTCTAGCATATCGCAACGTTGGATGGGGTTTGGGGGATGCGTCTATTACCTACATGTAGCCATCGCTTCTACTCCGGCGAGAAGAGATCTTGGGGGTTGAGGGAATGGGCCCGCTTTGCCTCCGTCCGTACACTACTTCAAAAGCGTCGTAGATTTCATGCCCAGCGCATGGGCGATCAACGTCGCACCGAGACGGGCAGATGACTAGCAGCATTGTATGGAATCTTTGCTTCGGACAGACAGAGAATAAGAGTCCCCCCTCCTTTCCCCTTTCAGGCCCTCGAAGAGGATCTTCCAGGCGAGACAGAGGTAAGAAAGGAATGGGCCCTCGTTGGCGGGGAAGAAGGAACGAAGGGAACGAAGGGAAGGAAATGCGTATCGAGGGCGAACATCGAATTTGTGTCCTTTGGCACAAACTGGGTATCACACCGACGCCAGCAGCCCATCAATTTGATCCTAATGCCTCATCTTACCCGCCTTGCCTTTCTTCCCACCATGTACACGATTGTTCAATCCCATCATCACCCATTGGAATGCTGCTGAAGCCCGCAGCTGGGGTGGCTGCACCACGGACTGACACCCAGCATTTCGCGTAAAAAAGAAAACGGTATGACTGGAGTACCGTCTGCACAGCCCAGAGGGTCTCGCTCCACCACCGTCTTTCTCCAACCATCAAGAAGGTCGACGTCCTCCCTGGTCGCTTTTCCTCCCCCGCCCGCCGCCCCCGCCAACGTGAAAACCCCCTGGTCATTCAGTTGATGGATTGTGGATGTTCCCTTTCCCTCTCCCGGCCCTGCCCATGCCGAGTGCACTTAACCACCGGCGACGCAGGTAAACGGGGCCAGACGGGCGCCTCGAGCTCTGGTCCAGACAATTGACGGAGGGATATAGTACCCACTCTTCGCCTTGGATTATTTTGGCCCTCCCTTTCGCCTACCCACTTCTCCACCGTGCCGCCCATGTCCCTTTGAGTCGTACACGCCGCTTGGGCTGGACCTTTGCTTTCCGGCTTGGGACGACCCCAGCCCTTCCGTACCGTAGGATAGCCACCTAAGGAGGGGGCACCCAAGGTGATTGGGAATCGGGGAACCGTGGCCCTAGGCCAAGAGGAGAGGCGGGCGTGGTACCATAGGACTTCAATTACTGTGTGCTCACCTGGATGACTTCGTACACCCAAGTAGCCCGCTCCATGCCATGGCTCCATGTAGCTAATCCATGAGACCTTAACCTCTTTGGCTGTCTTGCGTCCCCGAGACCGACAAACAAAAACCGTCCGTGACGAAATCGACCTAAACGTAACATTAAAACACTACTTGTATTATTGCTTTACTTGGCTGCCCTTATTATCTTCGTGCCGCCCAGTCCCCGTTCCTGACCCCCTCCCCCATCCCTTGATTCCCTTCCTCTCTCCCCTCCTTGGAATCAACTTCCCCTTCCCACCTTTGCCTTCGCCTTCGCCTTCACTCTACATCAGATCCCGGCTAAGCCAACTCTACGCAAACCTTGCCTTTTTGCTTTTGGTTTTACTCGACCTCCGACTTCTCGCCTTCGCCAACTCTGACACCCGACCAGGTGCCGCCATTTCTGCCTTGTCCACAGGGAACCTTAATAGCCTCCGGGGAGACAGACAGTCCACCCCGTGTTATGAGATTTGACCGCTTGACATCCGCTGTGCCCGATCCCGCCGAATCCGAGCCAACAACACCCAGCCGCTCTGAACTTCATTTCGCTTTCGCTCTGGCCCAACACCCCCCATGAGCGAGGGAGGATTCTGGAACGTTTTTCGCCTTGGAGGGCCTACGATTACGAGCTCAGCCCTCCTCCCGCCTTATTCCAAAGTCTCCGTCATTCTTGGCGAATTCCGTCGTGCCTAGAATAAATAGAATTTGTTGCAACTTTGTTCGAATCTTGCCAGGAGAGGTCGCCCAGAGCCTTCTCCTTGGCCCATATGAAAGATTACGAGTAACGCTATCTCGTAGTGTTTGAACTTACCCTCTAATACCTTAGCCAGTCCCTGCGAACTGGGCCAACACCTTCTTCTCTACAACTTGCCCCCGGCGCTCTCCTCCGGCAACCGCAGTTTTCGCCTTATTCTATCGTCTCCCCAAAACGACGACCATCTCCTCCCACCTAGTCCGCTCACCTTACCGAACCGAGAACGGAGCCTCGCTATTGTCTTTGTCGTGTCGGAAGTCCCTGTTGCCTCGGCTCTTTCGAATTCACCGGCAGACCAAAGTTAGGGGATATAAGGTGTTGACAAGAAAAAGGACTCAAAACTCACCGTTTAGTGGGTCTACCTTTGAAAGCGACCAGAGGGGATTTACAGCACGGAGCAAAATAAGGCACACACGTATTTGCAGCAAACGAGAACGGAAACCAAAATCAAGCTGTTAAATCTTGATCGGCTTTGCTTCAAAGTTGGAAACGACTAGAACTTACCTTTTGGGGGTTGGAAGATAGAGAGCGCCTCTTTACCGTGCCCATCATCGCCCCTGCCTTATATCAACTTGGTCCCGTCGATTCCTCTTCCCGCCCAGATCGACCCGGTTTATCCCACCCAGTCTCCGTTACATCCAATGCTGGGAAACTCGACCGGGAGAGATTGATAGATCAAAGGAAGTCAGAACAAGGAGGGAGAAAAAGGAGAGAAAAAAACACGAGTGTTTCTTGCCAGGCAAAACTAACGAGATCACTGGATGCCTTGCTCTAGCTCCAGCTCCAGTCCAGCTCCAGCTCCAGCCTACCTGCCACCCACCAAAAGTTGTGGAATACCTATTTGTCCAAGTGTGCTAACCCACTTACGGATCGGAGTGCCGTAGAGCCTCGCCCTTTCCCCCAAGAACACTACAACCTAGATACGAAAGTCTCGGCCTCTATCGCCTCTTTCTAGACGCGATGGCCGAGATGGACTACCTCAATCGAAATAGCGGCAGCTCCTCACAGCACTCTGGGCAGCCCGTGCCGTCGACATGCCCATATATCAACTACCAGAACCAACATCGTCCCACCCCGCATTCCGACCCAATCCACCACCACCATCTGCCGTGGGTTCCTCACAACCAGCCATCTTACCAGTGGTCGCCTATTCCTCCTCCCAGCATGGATCTACCCCGGGGCCCCCAGAGCGCCCCAGGCCTTCCTCATCTGCGAATGCCCCCATCTCACACTTTGAGCCCTACCAGCTCCTGCCTGGTACTCTACCCCCACCGCAGCTGCCGATGATGAACTTCCAGCAGTCTGGTGGCCACGACGCGCCGTTTGGCGGCGTCCGCAGTTTGCCCCTGGTCCAGGACAAGGCATGAATGGTCTTCGGCCATTTCACCAAGTCCATAACTCTAGGCCCAGCGTGCCTTCCCCCTCATCGCACATCGTCCCGCCACCTGCCCCTCCTTCTATGCATCCGCCACCACAACACCACCAACAACAACAACACCCTCCTCATCAACAGATCCAGCTCCAGGGCCACCAACAACACCAGGCACCACCGACACAACCACCTTCAGTCCCTCATGCCTCCTCCTCCATGCCTCCTCACCCGCCTCCCCTGCATCACGTTCGACAGACTCAGAGTTCAACGCATCCAAGTGCAACCCGCAGCAACCTTGCGTCGCCGCCCTCGCTATTGCCCCATCTTCAGCCCCCAACACAGCAACAGCAGCCCCACGTGGCACCGGTACCTGTGCCGTCACAGCACCAAAATCAAATGGCCAATATCAACGGCCCGACACCGCTGACTACATCTTCACATGCCCGCATAGTACACTCTAATCCCGGGAACCATCCTCAACCAAACGTGTCTCCACAAGGGCAAGGAGGGCAAGGTGGGCAAGGTGGGCAAGGAGGCCCGGAGCACAGGCAGCAGCAACCGCTCCCTCAGAATACCCATACTACCCACCACCAGCGACATTCTCACCTAAACATTCATTTCGCCACTGCAGCTCCAGGTGCCGCCCATCACCCACCACTTCCCAACCCGCACCAATTGCTACGACAGTTTGGACACGATTATCCGGGGTCCTATTCAGAAAGCGTCCCACGTAAGTGTCAAGTCTGATGAAAAGTCATTCTCGGAGGCATCACCCGCCGATTTATCTTAACACCCTTCACCTTCTGCTTCTTCGTGTGCCTAACCCACCTCAAACTATAGCTATGCCGCCCAACCCGCACGATTTTGCGAGGCACTTACCTCCTCACAATCCCACCACGGCGTCCTCGGAGACGCGTCGTAGAGGAATGAGTGCACGATCTCGACGAACCGCCGCTCGCGCCCACCCCTTCTCTCCAGACCGGGATCGGGATAGTGACGAGGACCCTCAGCCGCCTACACACCCGGATGCATTGCTTGACGGCATTTTCCCGCCCGCCTTGGCCCGACACGGATCCACCGAGGACCGTCAGCTTCGTGCCGCCCAGTTCTTCAGAGGCTCCGTTAGCACCAAAATGGTCGCCTCCGCATCTGCCATTTCCTCGTTAGAAAGCGTCGATGTTGACACCTTGCCGGAGAGTGAGAAGAGTATGTCAACGCCTTTCCCATCTTTTCTCTTTCTTATGAATTTTTTCCTTTGAAAAAAAAAGAATTGCGGAGCTGGCTCACCTCCTGGCATTCAACCAACTAAAAAGAGATAACCCCACTAACTTCTATACCTGCCTAGGTTGCATAATCTGCTACAATGACTTTGGCTCCGAAACGCCGGAAGGTGTCAAGGAAGCGCCTCTCCGTCTTCCCGTTTGCAAGCACATCTTTGGTGACCACTGCATCAAAAAGTGGTTCGACGAGAGTGATAGTTGCCCCTACTGCCGCACCAAGGTCCCATCGGAACCCCGATTTAGTGCTAATAGCAGAGCTCTGCTGGAGCTTCTTCGAGCCCGCGGTGGCCCTATCCCGCTTGCTGGGTAAGTTTCTCACAAGGCGGAACCCTTTCTAGACTGGGGAGTGGTCTGGGTCTAATACATTGGTGTCTGCAGGTCGTCGGGAGCGGTGCCTCAAGAGCTCCTACTTCGTGTTTTCGCCACTCGCGAGGGGTACAGAGAATTTTAGAACCTGAATCAAGCCCCCAGCTCGCCGGTCTCCCCCACTGAAGCCGCTGAACCACGTCGCCGTATTAGGGCGAGGTACAGCGGAAATATGTCCTCTAGGCCAGAGGCGTCATATTCAAGCAGCGGGCGCCCGAGCTCTTTGGCGGCATTCCATCCTCTGGGTCAGCTCAGTCATCTCCGTCCCGCGACCACCGCCTCTTCCACGAGCACCATGTATCGTGGAACTCGGACAGGGAGAGAGAAGCATTGGGACTGCGCAGTAACCGAGCAAACGCCAGCCCACCACGGATTCGTCCCAACGCCGGTGGTGCGTATTTCTCAGCGCCCTTCAACTGGGATGATTCTATTATCTCTCCTTCAGGACGGCCAGTCGCGGCGACTTCGACCAACGCTCCGGAGCATTCATTTTCATCAGAGCATGGCCCCTCTTTTTCCGGAATGCAACATGCGGGTGTGCGGCCGCAGCAGGTAGCGGACCGCACTACAACTATCACTAACAACAGCCAGCACAGCGCTATCGCTGACACTAATAGCACCGACGCTCCGCCGTGGGCGTCGACACTCCGATGCCGGACCGGGGCCCGGCCCCGTAATATGATTTTGAAGGGTGTTCTAGGAGAGAGGAGTCAGATTCCCCACTCACAGGACTTGGCGAGAGGTATCACGGCGTGTTACTCCCTCATACATTAAAGACGGGGAATATGGACGACAATTGTATCGAATCGAAGAAACCAAATTATGACTTGATGAAAGGAAAGGCGCAAGAGGGGCATTCGGAAGGAAAGGACGGATCAAGGTTGACAATCACGCTTCTGCTTTTCTTTTCTTATTAACGACACATTTTCATCCCCTCCCTAAACTTGCCCCTGGTCTTGCCTTTTCTTTTTTTTTTTACTACATTTTTCCCTCTACAGCTCTGGTCGTTTTTGAGGGATATCTGCTTTCTCCTGACGAATTTTTGGGGAGGATTCTTATACCCCTTCCATGCACTTCAGGCAGCAAGGAGGCCTCGTCTCTTCATTCTATTTCACCACCCAGCCCTAATGAGGGGCCATGATCAAGTCGAGGGTCACTGATTAGGGTTTATCTGACTACCTTATTGAGTTGAAGATGGCCGCATCCTTTCGCTCGCGCACACAGTAGTCGAACTACGCAACTCAGCGGCCACGGAAAATGAAGGTCTTCGTGTAGCCTCTGAGATTATAGACGTATTTTTCTCTCGTTGCATCAGCATGGTCAAAGTTGTTCAGTTTCATCAATAATAATGAATGTGTTGTCCTGCGATTGTGCATGGTTCTTGCAAAGGCGTGATCCAAGAGTCCACGCGTTTTAAACCCAATAGGTCCTAGAGGAGATGGGAGTAAAGAAAAGAAAGTCCACAAAAGAAGTATAAAAAAGAAGAGAAAAAAGTAAATGCACGGTATGTGGTGTTCGGAGCCAGCGTGATTCACAAAGCTCAAATCGGAGAAGAGGAGAGAGATCAACCCAGCTCAGCGTGATTCACCTTGACTTATCGGCGATATTCAGAGAGGATGTTGACCTCAATCAAGCCGTCTCCGTCGGGGCGGTATTCCACTCCACTCTAAGGCAGGTGGGGGCCGTTTCAGCACCCTTGGCTGGAGACTGTTACCCAATGAGACGCTGGGTATTATCTTCGAGACGTCGCTGGTGGTCGGGATTCGGACCAACCTCAAGGTTTAACCAAGTCGTATCTGTCGTAATTGTCGAACATCCCGCTCCGGGCTAGGCATCATCGCCTCATTCTCCCCGAAGAATCGGACTTAAGCATTTGAGAGACCACGTCGTTCGGCCTGGTGGACGGATTCATCAATTGCGTGGTGAATTTTTGTCTCTTGTTGAGTATGCCTTGACGCCAGCATCGATTGGGTAGGATTCTCATGTCAGCACAGGCAACCTTTCCATCTCTCCGGAAAGCTTGGCGTTCCTCACACAAGCAACACAAGCTCGAACGGCCGCTCCCCCAGGTCGGGGTTCGAATCACCCCAGCCGACTCCGCCGTCTCCGCTGCCGTCACCTTTCCACCAAGTCGTCATCCGCCCCCTTGCACATACCATAAATTCTTTCCATCCCAAGGAATAAATAATCCCGTTCATCGCCAAACCTCTTCTCCTCGCCTATCCAATTGATGTATCGGTTCGAGACCGGATGCGTCCTTGCTTAATTCTTCAAACACTCATAAGACGCACACTTGCTTTCTAGCTCAGCTCCGCCTTTGCAGTGGCTTCTTTCTCTCTTTCTTTCCTCGTCACTTTTTTTCCCTTCCTCGTTTCATCACTAGGAAGTGGTGACACCACCCCCAGAGGGGCCACATTGCTGTTACTATGGCGCCTCCCTGGAATGGCCTAACCCTCACCTCTGGCGCATTCGCCTTTGCCTGGACTTACCTGCAGCCACAATGGTCGACGGCGGGATTTCTGGGCACCTTTGCGAAGCTATGGGTCGCCGAACTGGGTGCTTGGGGGTATATGCAGTATTCCTGTACCCCTTTTACTTTTCGCCCCTGGTTGGTTTACCGGAACCTGAGGGCAGCCACTGGCTGTTGGGCCAATTCCAGCGCATCGCCAGCGACCCGTCAGGTGCACCTATGCTCGACTGGTAAGTAGAAGATTTCCGACCTTGCTTTCCGTCGCTGTTCCCACTCCCCCTTTTCACCCCAATACAATATCTTTCCCAGGCCAGGCCCCGCGGGCGAGGGATGCAGACCAAGCACGGGGCCTTCCAAGCGCAGTAGTGTAACTGGTGACACTGACCGTGTAATCTAGGGCGGCCACTATTCCAAATGACGGCCTCCTCCGCTACAAGGTCCCGCTCAATCAGGAGCGCGTTATGCCGACATCGGCCAAAGCGCTCTCTGAGGTGCTGGTGACGCGGAACTACGACTTTGAGAAGCCTGCCATGATTCGTTGGACCCTGGGGAGGATCTTGGGAAATGGCATTTTGATGGCAGAGGGGACGAGCACAAGCGACAAAGGAAGAACCTCATGCCCGCCTTCTCCTTCAGGCATGTCAAGGACCTTTATCCGGTCTTCTGGGACAAGTCTAGGGAGTCGGCGTTGGCCATGAAGGAACAGGTTCGATTCGGGGCGGCGGCTAAGGCTAGTGAGGATGAAAAGGCCGCTGCCGCCGACAACGCGGTCGAGGTTCTCGAGATTGGTGATTGGGCCTCGCGCGCTACACTCGACATCATTGGCGTGGCAGGCATCGGCCGGGATTTCCATGCCGTCCAGGACCCGGACAACCCTCTGAGCAAAATGTACCAGGACGTCTTCAAGCCGTCGAAGCAAGCGCGTGTAATGAACCTACTCAACCTCGTCCTCCCCGGCTGGATCGTTACGAATCTCCCGATCAAGAGAAACGGTGATATTCGCCAGGCCTCGGCCATGATCCGGCAGGTATGCCTGGATCTCGTCAAGGAGAAGAAGGAAAAGTTTGCCCGCAAAGCATTGACGGATGTGGATATTCTGTCTGTAGCCATCGAAAGTGGGGGTTTCAGTGACGAAGACCTCGTCAACCAGCTCATGACGTTCCTTGCCGCAGGCCACGAGACGACAGCCTCAGCCATGCAGTGGGCTATCTACATGCTGTGTCTGCATCCCGAGGTCCAGATGCGACTGCGCAAGGAAGTCAGGGAGCACCTCCCACCCATTGAATCGGGACGGGACATCACGGCCCTTGATATTGACCATCTGCCCTACCTCAACGCCGTTTGTAACGAAGTCCTCCGCTACTACTCTCCCGTGCCGCTCACCCTCCGGCAAGCCGTCGTGGACACATCTATTGCGGGCCAACACATCCCCAAGGGTACCATGGTCGTGCTGTGCCCCTGGGCTATCAACCGAGACCAGGCCCTCTGGGGTGAGGACGCCGGGCGGTTCAACCCGGACCGATGGCTCGCAGCGGGCCCTGGAGCCGCGACCGCGGCGACGGTCGGTAGCGGAGGCGCGTCCAGCAACTACGCGTTCCTCACCTTCCTGCACGGCCCGAGGAGCTGCATCGGGCAGGCGTTCGCCAAGGCCGAGTTTGCGTGCTTGCTCGCTTCGTGGGTTGGCCAGTTCGAGTTTGAGCTGAACAACAAGGAAGAGTACGACGAGAAGAACATGGTCATAAAGGGCGGTGTGACGGCGCGGCCGGCGAACGGCTTGTGGGTGAAGGCCAAGGTAGTCGAGGGATGGTGAGGGCGAGCCCAACCTTGAAGTGAACGGAACAAGGGCCCGTGGGCCGGTAGCAGGCGAGGGGTAATGCGTCAGTATCGGGGATGGTAGGTCTAGCCATGTACGAAAACCCGAGATGAAGAGGGACGTTGGAGTTGGGCACTAGTCTGCCGTTGTCTCTCGCTGCGGAGGATGTGGAATCTGGGCAACGGTCGGATGTGCCTTTTGCCCGGGCGCATATTTGTACACTTTTGGAGGGGGTCTAGCGATGCATTCATTACACGTGGGAAATAGCGTTTGGGAGATTTTTCTTTTTCTTTTTTGGCCTATATTCTTGATTTTCCTTTAATACGCTTTCGGGGGTTCGAGTGCCACATGAATGGTATTTTCTACGACTGTAATCGATGATGTTCACACGTCTCTCCACTTTTTGCGTTTTGTTTATTTTTTCCCTTGGTTTTTCCAAATCCATATGCAGATAAAATATATGAATGTGACGATCCCCACATGCCTACAGGGCACTTCTATGTATGAATGCCTTGCCACATCAGTAATAGTTTTCGGGTTGGACGCGGGCGAACAACATTTGTCGGAGGTGGAAAAGTCTGATTTTTGACTCCCCTCAAGAACGGAACGGCCCGTGGCTAAAGTCTTCGCCCATTCTCTGAGCAGTTTACTGGTTGATCACTCAAACGATACATACGCCGAGGATGAAATGTCCGGTGGCACCTCCCAAGATATCATATTCTGAAAGGAGGAGACAGGCAGAGAGAATATCGCTCCATCTTATGCATGGCAGTTGATTATTCTGCACAACATATGCTAGGGTTGGGATATGGCCATGTCTTTCCCCCATCTCTCCATTCATAGCCTTTTATTCATTTTTACTTTTATCTTCATCTATTTTATACTGTCCCTTTCCGCTGCTTTCTTGCCCTTCACCGATACCTCTCCAATACGAGATGTTTGGAAATCTGTACAGCAAGAGGGTGGGAAGATCGGGGTTTCTACTGGAGTGGACATGGATGAACGCACGCGTACCTTACATGACACGACCCCTGGTGCTAGGCTTCGATATATGAGTTCACTTGAGTATCACTCGACACAAGACGCATCCGTGTGTTTGGTGGTTGGGCGCCAAAGCTTCATCTAGAAGTGGGTCACAGGGTTTCCCGTTGAGAGGAGATGAGATGGCCGGGGTGAGAGGCGGTGAGTTTGATTGACAGAGTAACCCGTCTTGATTTATGGGGAAAGGCAAGTTTGATGAATTCCCACGCATGTGTTTCTCTTTGTAGTGAAGATGGGAGAAGTAGGCGCGTAATATATTTAGAATGGGGATGGATGAAGGGCAGGACAGGGCCACCGCGGATGGGATAGTTCCTTGTTGTCCTTGAGGTTACGAAAAATTGATAGACGTCCATCCATTGGATCCACTCTCATTGGGTCACTGAAGAGGCGGCGGTGGAGGCTGTTTCGCAGCTGCAGTTGTGCCTGCTTCACGTTTATCCATCATCCATCCATCCATATCTACATATGTCTTCGCCTACACAGGGCGCCCTTTCCGTGCGGATATTGATTTTCAACGTTACGGGGATCCTGCAAAAGAACCCGAAGTCGACATCTCTATTAATAATTTGAGAGCCGCTCGATGAAGAGAACGGACGTGAGCATGCTCGATATCTAGGCTGAGGGATCCATTGATGGATGTATCTGCCCATCTTATAACTAGACCCCGTTTAAAATATTCGGGTTCTATGATTACTTGTATATGGACGAAGCCCGTCTTGAGTACCCGAGTCTGGACATGAGTGAGCGACCCGGCCGGTTGCTGGTTTCTCTCGAGATGACTCTGAAGACGGGCCAGAAGCAAGACAAGGGGTCGAGCAAGAAGTTCGACGTTTCCTCACTTCTCACCGTTGTACGGGTTAGAAGTGCTCAGTTATCATATTATCAGTATCCCTCAGCGGTGCAGTATTATTACGGAGGCGACGACGCCGGAGAGCAATGGACAGCAAATTGGACCAAGGGCCGACTTGAGCGATGTGCAGGCAAAAGGGCGTACACGTGGCGGTGGTGGTCAGGCCAGTGCTTGCAATAAAGGTGTGGACCTGCCAGCGTTGACTTGTGATATTTGATTCGCTGGCTTGCGAGAAAAGAGGGCGACCTCAGCTGCGAAGGGACACGGCCGACGTAGTGGCTAATGCAGCCGGCGTCGACGTAACCGGCTTTGATTGGATGTTGCCAGGATTGAGGTCTCGTGAAGGCGTCACCAAGATATTTGATGGCAACGATGGATCGAGGGACTGAAGTGGAGATATCCATGGGTGACTAATATAATACAGGCGGTGCGTCAATGATGTGCAGCACACTGCACGTTTGAGGTCTCTTGATTACAATGGATTAATCAACTAGCATTGCTCTTCGCTGTAACTACATGTACTGTCGGAGAAAAACTATGGTGGACGAGATGGGTTACTGAGACATCGTTGATTCCAAGGGCAACTTTTTTTCTTTTTTTTTTTCTTAAACAGAGGGGCATAGAAGAAGGACTCTCTTCAAGCGCACATGTCTTGCTCTCCGATGCGGGATGATCAAGCCATTTACTGAGCCGGCCACTAATAAAAGCGGAAAAGAACTTTGGGGAGAGTGGGAAGCTTTTGGGGTTATCAATCCAATCATAAAGCGGATTCCATAAAGCATGGCATTATTCACGGAGGAGCCATGAGTCTGGGACCCTCATCCCCGTCCCCGGGCACTAGGAAACTATAACACCACGGCGGGCGCCAGGCACCGCCGCTTCTAATCTTTGTGCGGTCAATATCAAGCTCCTCTTGCCAGGGCCTTTCGAGTGCGGCCAGGCCTGGTTCGAACCACAAGCGTAGGGCGCGGGTAAGATCCAGAGGGGTTTTATCGTTTTGCACCATATTCCCTTGTGGGAGTCCACTTCTTCCCGTGATGTACTTGCAAGTGGGCTATGTGTTTATATAGTAAGTTCCTGCTGAGGACTCTCATTTGGCTTGTCGGTCTTTGTGTCCGAGTGCCGAGTATCACTGTTTTCGTACGGTCATCAAGAGCCTCAGCTTTACCGAGGCAGGGGGTTTTCTGACCACTCGAAAGGGGATTGATCAGCAATTTGTGAATCCTGAATGTTGAGATCAATGATGGACCTGGACCGGGTATCGATTCATCCATTGCCATTCCCTTTAAAAATTGTGAAAGCCTTGCGAGAGACGGAGTCTTAGTTTGGCTGAGGTTGGTTGTCTTTTAAATCACCCTTCAACTTGAAGGGTCCAGTTCAGTCGACTGATGTGTCTGCGGGCGCGTGTCTCTCGTTCACAATGCCACCTTCGTCCCTCGTCACCCCTGTCGCTTGTTCTCCACCCGTGGAGAGGTCCCCATCTCATCGTTGATGGTCCAAGCTGTGTAAGCCGCCCACCGCCCCTTCCTTTCCCTGGCCGATTTCCTTGGCGCGACAAATTCCCGCCCACCGTTCCTTCCCTTGCGCATGTACACTAGTTGTACCTACCCGAAATCAAAACAACATGGAATCTCAGCCCAACCAGCTTCGGGACTGACGCTGGGTTCGAATTCGTTCTTGAACTGCAGCCTTCCCACCACCAGCCACCCGCACGAATCGCTATTTTCCTCCTTCTCCCCAATCACTCACGAGAGAGGATCAAGTGCGAGCCTCGTGGCGGCAAACCCTTACAACCGCGAAACCCTTTCGCTTCCCACACCCACGCGCGCACCTATTTCGGCCGGCGGTCGACGCAATTTACGAAATCACGATCGCCTGTAAAATCAAAAATCAACCTTGTAGCCCAAATTTCTGTAGAACCGCGCTCAGCCCAGTTTTATCCGTGCTTTCGCCATCTCGACACGCCCAACTCCGCAGCCCAGGCGACACGCCTCGCACTACTCTCCCCTCCTTCTCTCATGGAATGATAGCAATCGCGTGCATGATATCGACCAAGTAAACCGCGCCCCTCATGCCGCGAGAACATCACCGTCGCCGGAGCAGTCGCGACAGCTCTCGGCGACGAAGCCGCCGTCGTTCGCGGGACCAATATTATACGACGAATACCGCATCCGCCCCAGCCGATGCCGCTACCCACGCCTCGCGAAGTCGCCAACCGAATCGTAGAAATTCTCGAAGCTCATTGTCCTCCTCCTCCTCATCTTCTTATCTTGATATATCCCGATACTCGCCCCCAGCTCGATCCGGAAACATTTTTACTACCTTCTTCTCCGCCCCCTCTGAGCATCGGCGTCGAGCTCGAACCCGGCGAGCCGCTACGCGAATCCTAGCCTTCAATAACTCTTCCAGCTCTTCTGTTGATTCTGACCTAGCTTACGGCACTGGCTTTCTGAGGCGAGCTCGTGGCCGCGGCTCGAACCGTAACTCGCCACAGGTTGCTCATGCCCAGCCTCACGCAGATGGCCGTCACAGCAGCCAGAGACATAGCCAGCAACAACAGCAACAGCAACATCAGCAACAACCTCTCTACCAACCCCAACACCAGCAGCAGCAGCAGCCTTTCTACCAACCTCAACGCGAGCAGCACTATCCCTACCCCCAGCGTGACGCACGCCAGTATGAAGCTCCCGCTCATTCCCATACCGACCCGCGACACCACGACTCCCGACCCTCTCTACCCTATCTTCCCTCGCAGCCCGGCTCTGTGGCCTACGACCCACGCCATCATCGTAGTCAGGATGCCACGCCTACTATGCAAAATCCTTATCCCGTCCCCGCCCCCGCTCTTACTGAGACACGGTATGCAGGGTCTACCACCGCAACTCCTGTCGCCGCCCTCTCTTCTGCCCTTGGCCCTCGAGAGATTGATGGAACTGAGCGCACGGACTCTCGCTTCTCTTCGCAAGTACAGCGCGACTCTCGTGTTCCGTCAGTTAGTGTGCCTCGGCCTTCTCGCGAGGAGCCTGAGGGTGGGGCTCCCACGCGGCCCTCTCGGTTGAGGCGAACTGGGACCGACGAAGAGATAATGGAGATCGGACGCCGTCTAACCCAGCTTCAGAGCGACATTGACCAAGCGGAGACGCGACCCACCGGCCTTGTCTCTGGAGGCGCCAAGACCCGTGGTATCGGCCCATCGAGGTATAAAAATCGTGAATCTAGTGACGACGAGTGGGAGTCTGCTTCGGACTCGGGCGACGAGGATGACCCCTTGCCTACGGCTCTGGGGTCTCATTACCTAGACCCTCACATGTCGCTGCCCAGCCCCCGCCTGCTGCCCCTGCCCCGACTCGTCCCGAGCCCCCAACCCATCGGTCATCCATTGTGGATCCTCGTCTTTTCGGTCCCCAGAACTCGCTGCACGGGGTTGTGACCCCGATCCCTGGCCCTGCTCCGACAAAGCCTTCTCGGATGAAGCATGTACAGCCCACGCCGATAGACAACTCGGTCGATTTTGATGCTAGAAGCGCCCCGGCTCACACCATTAGCGAAGTCTACCCTAAGCGTTCCCGTGCCGCCGAAGTGCCACTCGAGCAACCGAGACCCGTAGCACCTGTGAGCCCTCAGAGGCTGGAGCACTCGTCTTACCGCGAGGAAAAATCCCGAAAGTCGTCTTCGGGAGATAAGACGTTCGCAGCCGTGACTACTGCCGTGGCTGCTGGCGTAGTCGGATCTAGTGTCTTCTCCGAGAAAAGTCAAGGGAACCGTCTTACTCTTCTCGTAGGGAAGACAAGGTCGAGCCTGACTACCACCGTCGTCATCCGTCCACGCGCGACCGGCCAGCGGAAAAGCCAAGACCGGATAGCTACGACACCCGTGATTCGCCTCGGCGTGAGCGCCAGGAGGAGAAACCACGGCCTGTCGAGTATCACGCCCGTGACTCCCACGACGTGAGCGCCCGGAGGAGAAACCACGACCTGTCGAGTATCACGCCCGTGATTCCCCGCGACGTGAGCGCCCGGAGGAGAAATCGCGACCCGACGAGTATCACGCCCATGATTCGCCACGACGTGATCACCCTGGACGCCCCATAATTTCCGAAGAACAGGAGAGCGAGGCTGCACGCAAGGAGCGCCTTGATAGGGAATATGAAGAATATGTCCAAAGCTTTAATCGAAAGACGGGGCGGAGCCGGCGCAGCAAGCCCGAGTTGGAGGAAGAGCCAGCTTCCCGCCGTCAAGAGAACCGAGAGGAGGAAGAAACACGGCGACGAATCCGCGAGATTCGCGATAACCGAGGTTCTCCAGTATCTCGAAAATCTGCGATCGCGTCGAATGAGGACGGATATAGAGAGAAGCAAGTTCCCGCTGGCCCCACCAAGGCGCCTATTGATCCGTTCCAGTTCCAAGTTGCCGATGATGCCTTCAGAACGCCTTCCTATAGCCGGCCAGCGACGCCACCAAAGCAAGAAGTGCAGCCTGGTCCACCTAGCACCGCCGTATTCACGGTCGAACGCGAACCCACTTTCTCCTCGCCCGATTATGACCCCCATCCGCGCCTCAGCAGAAAGGACTCGTTCGAAATTGAGCAGCTAGCTGAGATGGCCCGCAGCTCTTCGACTCGCCAACCTTCTCCCCGTCGTCGGTTTGATGACGAGGAGGAGGAATTGAAGCGGGCCTACTATGAAGCTAGGCGTCTTGCAATGAGTCGGACCCGGCTGAACCTATGGAAGACCCGAAGCCGCTTAAGAAGCAAGACTCGAAAGACGATCACCCCCGAGAAAGATCCAGTGTTGGAGGAGGCAGACAGATTTTACCGCCGCTCACAAGCTGCCCGTAAGAATGCAGCTGAAGAGATTCGGTCGCGGTCCGGCTCGAGGCGGAGGTCAGTCGTTGACCAGTGGAAAGAGGAGGAAGAGGAGGAACCAGAGCCCGAAATCTTAATCGTCACTCCACCTGAACTTGAAGAGAAGTCACCAACAGGTCTTTATGGTGGGCCCGATGCCGATGTCCGTATTGACAACATTCTTGAGCATCCCGGCCTTTTATCTCGGTTCTTGGAGGAACGCGGCCGTTCCGCCGGTCCCACCCTTTTCAGCACTAGAGATCCTTCTGCCGAAAGGGAACGGCCACTTGTAAATGTTGTGCGCCCCACGCCAATCGGCTCTCCCTCTCCAGAACGACGACTAGACAAAGATGAGGAGAGGAAGTCGAGGTCTAGATCTCGCTCGCAATCAAAGTCCGGCTCCAGGTCCCGATCCGCTTCGAGAACAGGAGAGCAAGCGCGCGAAGAATCCTCAGATCCTAATATCATGATTGGACCTCGTGGAGAGATCATCCAGCTAGCAGACAACAAAGTAGGCAGTGCGGAACCTGTCGAAGCCAGAGCACCCCGTGGCGAAGCCCAGAACCCCAGCACCGAAACGAGGAGCGCCTGGGGCATCGTCAACGCCGTCCTTGCGACTAAGTTTGCAACTTCTCAGCCAAGTGGAGAGGAAGGGGAAGTCGATGTAGCTCGTGAAGCAGAGCCGGGGCCCGCAGATACTCGCGTCGACTCGCAGCCTGAATATCCTGTGCCAACAGAGCCTCAGAGGGCGCAACTCCCTTGGATGAGGCGGCAGCCCCGTGACCCTAGAGATTATCGAGGATCCTGCTCTCGTCGATGATCTCGTGGACGATGATGTTGGTACACCTGATCCTATTCCTGAAGTGGCCACAAAGGAGTCTCCTCTGGACCTTGCTTCTTTGGAGAGCGGCCCGGCTGTTGAACCCGAGCGCCGGTGGGTCTCGCCAGAAGACTTTTCAGCGGAAAAGTCTCCGGCGGTAAGAAGAGGCTCTGAGAAGACCTTTGATGCTCTTGACAACGACGGCCTTGGCGACTTGCCTCCGCTGCCCGAATCGATGACCGAATCCGTTCCCGACTCAAAGGCGATAACGCCCAAGACTCGTTCGATACCAGGCGCATTTGACGACGACTTCGAGTTTGCGGCAACACTCAGTGCTGGTCTGAAAGCTGCCGGGTTTGAGGACAGTATTGTTGTCGAGGATCCTCAATACCGGCATCGTGACTCGCCTCCAGGTTCGAACGACGAGTTTGCTCCCGACACACGGACGAGGTCATCCCCGGTGCTTGACCAGGCGTCGGCCGAAGAAGAATGGGGAGGCTCCTTCCGGGGTAACAAGAAGAAGAAAAAGAAGGGTGGCAAGAAACAAGTCATGGACGTTTCGTCTTCAGACGTTGTTGAGGCTTCTATGGAGCCGAGACCGATGGAGAGTGAGGAGATTACCCTGGCCCCTGAACCCGAAGCGGAGCCTAGAACGGAACCTGAGACGGAGCCGGCCGAGGACGAATGGGGCAGCAGCTTTGGCGCCAAGAAGAAGAAGAAGAAGGGCGGCAAGAAACGTGCCCCGGAAACCTCGCCACCCAAGGATGCTGCCAGGGCTGTCCCGGTTCTCCTCGATGAACCCGACTACGTCTCTGCTTCTGCCCTTGACTACGAACCTGTGCATGAGACCGAGGCAACTAAGACTGAGCCTGAGACTGAGCCGGCCGAGGACGAGTGGGAAACTCCTTCAAAGCTAAAAGAAGAAGGGGAAGGGTGGCAAGAAGCAAGCTGTGGAGGTGGAGCCCTCTGAGGATCTTGCTGAGGCTGTTTATGCGGAGCCGACACCTTTGGAGGAACCCGACGTCAGCCCTGCGCCTGTACTGGAACACGAACCTCGGACCGAACCCGAGACGGAGCCAGCCGAAGACGAGTGGGGTAGCAGCTTCGGGGGTAAAAGAAGAAGAGGAAGGGCAACAAGAAGCAAGTTGTTGCGGTCGCAACCCCGAAGATGTTGCCGAACCTATCGAGATCCCGGAAGATATCCTTGCCCCCGAATCTAGCTCTCGAACCGAGCCCGAAGCCGAACCAGCTGAGGATGAGTGGGGTGGTAACTTCGAGAGCAAAAGAAAAAGAAGAAGGGCGGCAAGAGGCAAACCGTTGTATCCCCGCCTCCTGAAGAGGCTGTAGACGCTTCTTACACTTTTGCCGATGGGTTGGCGTCTGCTGAAGAGGCGGAAGTTGCTCCGGGCCCTGAACATTTGCCCGAACCTGAACTGAAAACTGAGCCCGAGCCTGAGCCGGCCGAGGAGGAATGGGGCAGCGCCTTTGGTAGCAAGAAAAAGAAGAAGAAGGGAGGCAAGAAGCTAGCCATGGAGTCCCTACCGTCAGAGGAGGCTGCCGAACCCGCGCCCGTGGGCTTTACGCCCAGCGAAGATGCGGCAATCCCCGAACCTGAGCATGCCCCTCAACCTGAAACGGAGCCGGCCGAGGAGGAGTGGGGAAGCGCTTTGAAGGGTAAGAAGAAGAAGAAGAAGGGTAATAAAAAATATGCTGAAGAGGACTTGGCCCTGGAGGAGCCTGTTGAGACGGCCCCAATAGTAACCACGCCCGCCGAGCAGCTGGACCTGGACGAGGCCCCTGTGTTGCCTTCCGAACCTCAAGTTGGGTCACATGGGGAAGAACCTGATCTGCAGATGTCTGAGCCGAGTATCACCCGCTCCGCATCCGTGGACGAGGATGCCGAATTCATTGCCCCGAAGAAACTAAACAAGAAGGAGCAGCGGAAGCGAGCGAAGCAAAAGGCAGTAGACCCGTGGCAAGACGATGACGCGGCTACAGCAGTTGCAAAGGAAGACCAATGGGACAGCTTGATTGATGCTGATTCTCACAGCCGCTCGGCCGAACCCTCTCCTGAGGATGCTTGGGATCTTGGGGCTGATGAAGCGACCCAGCCTTCTTCGCCTGTGGAAGACGACCGCGCTCCTAACAAGAAGTTAACCAAGAAGGAGCGGCGGAAGCTTTCTAAAAGCAGAAAACTCCAATGTTTGGCGATGAACCGGAGCTCGCCGACGACTTGCCCAACGACGAGGGCGAGCTGCTCGATACCCCGGCCAAAACCTCAACGGACGAGCCCCGGGACGTGGCACCTGAACCCGGGGTAGGACCCGGGATGGCTGCCGAAGATGATGACGTCTGGCACGAAGCACAGGAAGCCCCGAAAGAGCCCCGGAATCTTTGGACGCTGACCCCTGGGCCATGCCGGCTAAGAAGGGCAAGAAGAAGAAGGGGAGGCAGGCTGCTGAATTTGATTGGGACAAGCCGGAGGAACAGGAACAGGACAAGGAAGCAGCACCACCCCGGCTGCCGAGGACGACCCATGGGCCATGCCAGCTAAGAAGGGCAAGAAAAAGAAGGGGAGGCAGGCTGCTGAATTTGATTGGGACAAGCCTGAGGAACAGGAACAGGAACAGGAACAGGAAAAGGAAGCAGCACCACCCCCGGCCGCCGAGGACGACCCATGGGCCATGCCGGCGAAGAAGGGTAAGAAAGGTAAGAAGAAAGGTAAGAAGATGGACGATTGGGCGGACCCGGAACCACCCGATAAAGGCCTCGATGACTCTGAGGAAACTGGACTTATGGCCAAGCCCGACGATGTCGGCCAGGATTCTTTTTAGCTAATGCCGACACCCGTGGCGAAGGTGTCGGCTTACCGGTTGCAGTTGCGGCTGCGGTTGCGGGACTTTCCGCCCTCACCCGGTCAAATGCCAGCAAATCCTCATTTAAAGGGGCGGAGAACTTGATGACGGACGACGAACCTACCCATGGGCAGGCGGATGCGCTAGATCTGGGAGTCGTTGAGAGGGTAGTCAAGCCTGCTATCGACCCCCAGTACGGAGACCTCCTTCCTCTCCCCCTAGTGCTCCTGGATCCCCAGGCGAGGTCATAGAAGACCTCCCTGGGCTGCCTGCCAGTCGCCCGGATACCCCCTGAGACCGTCTACAGTCGCACGATCTTGGAACAAAAGAACCGGCGGAAGAGCATCCATGATTCACCTCATGCTAGATCTCCTAGCCAGACAGCAATTCCCGTGCCCTACTTCTTTGGACCGAGGTCTAACCCTTCATCCCCGCGTGTTTTTAGGCACTCGCCCATGTCTTCTCCTGTTTCATCGGCGACAGATACGTCACTGACGAAGAAAGGGCCAGCGCGTCCCGTCTCGTGGGAAAGCACCAAGGATATCCGCCCCCTCTACCTCGCAACTCGCCGGGAGGCTGAATCTCCTCGACGCGCTGCCTCTCCAATGACAAGCGACCGAGAAGGGAGTGCGGCCCGCCACGAATTTGGCCATTCTCCGACCAGCAGCCTCGATCTCAAGGACCCAAAAATGCAGTTTAGCCTGCCCCTGGCTGCCGCTGGCCCAGCGCTTTCTGATTCTGAACCTCCCCGGAGGCTGAGCAAATGGCACAGGAAGAGAACATCTTCGCCACTCCCAAGAAAAAGAAGAAGGGTGGCAAGAAGAAGGGCAAGGAGAAGGCGGTCGACTCAGAGGAGATAATCAACATGGCCGCCTCCGAGCCCTCGATAGAGAAGTCGCCGTATTCTGAGGAGCCAACAGCCACGACTCTGTCTACTAACGAGGCGTTGTGGGATAATGCTTTTGACATGCAGGACCTAGGAAAGGGCGAGTCGGTGGGTGACGTAGTAGAACTCGACCCTGCACCCTCAGGGCTATTGAAAAAGGAGAAACGGAAGAAGAAAAAGGCTAGTCAGTTCTCCTGGAGTGACGAGACTCCCGATCCGCCCGCTGTGCAGACCTCCGAAGAGCCTCTCGACGAGCAACCAATTGTGGCAGCGCTTAGAATCCCTGAACAGGATACTACCCCGACTCAGTTGGTGAAGGGGAAGAAGAAGAAGAACAAAGGAAGCCAGCGGGCCTGGGATGCGGAGGAAGAGGAGCCAGCTAATCGGGGTTTGGATGAGCCTCTTTCTCAGACTATTGACCCTCCACCCGCCCGGGAGGCAGTGCCGGACGGTGTCTTTGCCTCCTCGAAGACGAAGAGGAGTAAAGGAAAGAAAGCTTCTGTGACTGAACAGCAAGGCATACCCTCCACCGGAGAAACTGAGGCTCTTGATGACCGTCCATTGACAACCGACCAGTCTGCCGACGGAGCTGCCCATGGAGACTCAGCTTGGGATGATTTCAATGCGGACGAGAACTGGGCAGATGCTATGGAGGAGCTCGAAATCAAGGAACCTGAGAGGTCACCGCCGGGTCCTGACGACAGGTCACCCGAGGCCTCGATTTCCGCTCCCGAGCCCCTTCCCGCTGAGGATGATTTCGGGGTGCACTTCAACAAGAAGAGCAAGAAGAAGAAGGGCAAGAAGAACGATAAAACACCTTTCGAACAGGCACCGGAATCGGATGATGCACCTGCCCTAAAGACCGACGCCGAGTTTCCTGTGCCTGGGCCCATGCCCACCGTAACCGACAGCACACCATCTTCAACACAAGACCAATGGGATACGCCAGGCCGGGAGTCTACAGGGGATGAGTGGTCGGCACCTTTGAAGTCCAAAGCCAAGAAAGAGAAGGGAAAGAAACGCGGTAACAAATCGAGTCCCCTTACCAGCGCCGACGAGCCGACCCTGGTCGAAGACGAAACTCCGGCGGTTGAGCAAACCCTCAAGCGGACGAGCAAAAGGACCCAGAGGGTATGGAGGATGAGTGGACCGCGCCCACGAAATCTAAGAAGGCTAAAAAGGGCCGCAAAACTTCTCATGATTTCTCCACTGGACCTACCCCTTCTGTGGATGATGCCTCTGTCGAACTCGAACCTTCTGCTGAACTGGTCGAAGAACAGTCCGCTCCCAGCTCGGCATCTTCCGAACCCATTGAGTCGCTCCCACTTCTTGAGTCGGCAATGAGTGGCAAGAAGACCAAGAAAGCCAAAAAAGAAGTCGGTCTCATTTGCCGACTTCCCAGAAGAAAACCTGGTCGATGCCTTTGAAGCTGACCCCACTGTGTCACCCATGCCGGAGAAGGACGATCCCTTGGATATCTCCCTTGAGTCGAGAGAGTCGATTGATCGTGGGGATTTATGTCTATGGAAGGCTCGTGGGCCGATGCATGGGATGCCAGTCTGCCACCCGAAGTTGCGGCGCCCCCTTCCGAAATACCTCCCATCGAACCTGCTAGTGGAGATGCCGAGTACGCTTACCTGCCTAAGTCCATGAAGAAGAAGAAGAAGGGCAAAGCCGCCAAATCCGAGCCAACTCGCGAGTTAGAGACTGCCGAAGCGTCGTTTATTCAGGGAGAAGCGTCCGACCCCTCGGACCGGACCAGCCCTCATCTGTGGCCTCCGGCGACGATGCTGCTGCTGTCCTGACAGATGCCGGATGGGCGGAAGAGCCTGCGTTTGGATCGGTCAGTGGTAAAAGGGCAAGAGGCAGAAAGGGAAAAGCAGAGCGAGCGTCGACGAAGCACCATTTGAGGAATTGCCTGAAAAAGAATCTTTAGATGATGTGGAATCTCGCTCGACATCGGACCTCTTGCTACCTACTGATCCTGACGTGGCGCCGACCGGTGAGGATGATTGGTCATACACCCCCATCTTCGAAACGGGACAAGAAAAAGAAGAAGGGCAAGGTTGCATCTTTTGAACATGAGCTTCATCCAGATACAAAGTCCGAGGCCCTCGCTCATGACGACCTGGACCCTACTATCTCTTTAGTCGCCGAGGAAGAGCCAAAGGTTGAAGATGAGTGGGCCTACACCCCTCCTTCCAAGAAGGGTAAGAAGAAAGGCAAAGCGGCGCTTGTGGAATCCGAGCCGCTTCCTGAGACCGAACCCGAGGCTGCCGCCATTTTGGGCCAGGCCCAAGATGATCCTGCTTCTATAGCCGACGACCGACAGCTAAAGGCTGAAGAAGACGACTGGGCCTTTACTGCACTCTCTAAGAAAGACAAAAAGAAGAAGGGCAAGGCTAAATTGTCCGATCCCACCCCTCCGCCTGAGGCAGAGCTGGCAGGTGAAACCACTCTGGACCAAGATGCAAATCCTCTTCTTCCTGCACCGAAGGAAGAAGAAACGAAAACCGAAGATGACTGGTCGTATACTACACCCTCGAAGAACCTTAAGAAGAAAAAGAAGAAGGACAAGTCTTCACCGGCAGATTCTGAGCTCCTCCCTGAAACAGTACCCGACGCCATCGCTACTTCGACACAAGGCAAGGATTCCGTGACTTCTTTGGTCGGCGAAGACGAGCCCGAGGTGGAAGATGATGGGTTCTACGCTTCGCCTCCGAAGACGGACAAGAGGAATAAGAAGGGCAAAGGCATCCAGTCCGAGACTGATAAAACACGCGGGCTTGAGCTTACCGAGCCCCACAATGAAGCATCGCTCGGCGGTATCGATACGCAGCCAGATGAAGATTGGTCTTCCAGCCTAACAGAACCAAAGAAAGGCAAGAAGAACAAAAAGACAAAATTGCTGATACCTGAGGAAGACTCCATCTTCGAGCCCCATACCTCGCTGGCCGGGCAGCCAATTGACGAGGAAACTCGTGGGGATGGAGAAACCGACATCCCCGCGGACGAGTGGTCAACGACTCGAATGGACTCGAAGGACAAGAAGAAGAAGAAGAAGAAGAGTCTCGATTTGTCAGAACCTGAACTTCAAACGGACTTGCAGAACGAACCAGCCCACGAACGAAGCGTTCCGGAGGGTTCCGGAGCACCAGCTGGCGCCGAGATTGAGCCTGTGCCTGAGCCTGTCGATGACTGGGCCTTTACCCCGAAATCTAAAAAGATAAGGCCAAGAAAAAGAAGAAGGGGTTTAACTCTTCGGAGCCTGCATTGGGCCCGGAGCTGCACATCTCGCCAGACACTCAGGAACAGGCTGCAAGAGACATCACCGAGGACTCTCGTCTAGTAACAGGAGCGCCCGGGGCAGAACCCGCCGATCACGATACATTTACTTCAACCTCGGAAAATGATACGATGCAGGAAAGGGGAATGAACGAGGATCAAGCCCTATCAACGCCCGAGTCCGAACCTGAAGTCTCATCAATGTCCGGAACAACTCCTGCCGAGCCTACCCAAGACTCTCCTGAAGGTGAGCCTTGGGACGATTTGTCCTTCCAGACATCCTCCAAGAAGGACAAGAAAAGAAGAAGTCCCGAGCGACTCTTGAGCCGAAACCCGGGGCCGAGCTAGACGTCGAACCACCTCCTCGCTCCGAACCTGATCTTGATGCCGAGATCCCACTCGCTCTTTCTGAGCCAGTTGCTACTGAACCTTCTAAAGAACCCCAGCCGTCGCTTCAGGAAGAGCCCCTTGATCAGTGGAATTTCACTCCAACTTCCAAGAAGGACAAGAAAAAGAAAAAGAAGGGCATGCCTGCAATTGAACCAGAACCTCCGGCCGAAGGCGAACCCGATGTTCCAGAACTTGCTACAGAACTAGAGCCCACTCTTGACCTCACTGCAGAAGGCGAATGGGAGGTACCGACCGCTTCTGGAAAGGATAAGAAGAAGAAGAAGAAGAAGGGCTTGGCTACCCAACAGTCATTTTTCGAGCCTGAATCGAGTTACCACGAGCAGCCCGCCGAGTTCGAACCTGCGACCGGAGAGGCTCTCCCGCCTCCTGAGCACATTGCTGACCGGGCTGCCGACCGACCGGTCGAGGATGACTGGGTACCCATGTCGAGCAGCAAGAAGGACAAGAAGAAGAAGAAAAAGAGCTCATTTGTCCTTGAATCTGAGCCCCGGACTGACTCGGGAGACTGGACGGAAGACCGGACTGAAGCCAACGCTGAGACTCTCCTCGAGGTCGAACCGCCCGCTCTTCCCGCCGAGCCTACTGACCTAGAATACTGTGAAGATTTGGCATCCTCCTCTCAGAACGAGAAAGACGAGGAGAGGGCCAAACAAACGGGTTTGGCTACTTCTGAGGTTGGCCAGACAGTGGATGCTGTCCTCGAAGGTGAAACTGCTATCTTTGAGCCTCATGACACCGAGGCTTCCCAGCCTCTGGACCCCGTCACTGTTCCGGACAGTGTCCCTGAGGAACTTGAGTCTGAACAACCTGCCGCGATCGAAGATGAGTTATCGACCGAGAGCCAACCGACCTTCAACCAGTCGGGCCCCTCTAGCTCTAAGAAAGACAAGAAAAAGAAGCAGAAGGGCGACGCTGCTTTTGATCCCCAGTCCACTTTGGCAGAGGCCGAACCTCGCATCCCCGGTCTTGCACCAACTGGAGAGCCTGAAGAGGACCCGTTAGCTGAATGGGCCTTTACGCCGACTACTAAGAAGGGCAAAAAGAAGAATAAGAATAAGTCTTTGGTCGAGCAAGAGGTGTTCGATATTGCGGAGAAATTTACCCCTGCGCCGGAGGAAAGCACGCCCATCCCGGATTCTGCTTCGCCCACAGCTGAGGATGCGCTTGAAGATGAATGGTCTTCACCGCTACTCACGACGAAGGACAAGAAGAAGAAGAAAAAGGGCAAGGCGAACGCTGCCTTGGAACCCCAACCTTCTGGCGACAGAGAGGCAGCATCTGTTGAGGATTGCTCCCCGCTCGCCGAGCTGCCAGTAACAGAAACAGAAGGTCCCTCCGCAGCTGACCCTCAATCCGAGAATGAATGGGCTTTCACACCAAGAAGCAAAGATAGGAAGAAGGCGAAGAAGGGCAAGAAGGCGGCCGCAATCTCCCTCGACGCCGCCTCGGAGTCAATTCCTGGCCTTGATACCACGTCCCATATCTCCCCTGAATCTCCTTCCGAAGCCGTTCTGGAGCTTGACCAAGGCGATCTTGTCGAGCACGCCGCAGATAATCAAACCCCGGACCCATCCATGGTCAAAGAGTTACCCCAAACCGTCACTAGCTTAGACCTGCAGCACCAAGCGGATGAAGATAACTGGGCCATCCCACTAGCAGGCAAGAAGGGCAAAAAGAAGGGGAAGAAGCGGGATCCTAGTGAGCCCGCGGTCCCGGCTGCATCCAGTGACCCCCTCTACTTGAGGTCGACGAGTCTACACCAGTCTTTGAGCAGCAGACTCCCCGGGAAGACATTGGCGAGTCTGCCCTTTATAAAGACGAAGATGGCAAACAAAGGTCTCCAGTATTGTCAAGTATGGAGCCCGAGTCTGTCAACTTCACCGAACCCTCGCCCATGGACGCCACGGATATAGTCTCTGCCCTGGACAAGAACCCCGATCCCGATTACCCGCTGTCTGGAGACGAATGGGGTCCTAGTACCTTCTCTTCGAAGAAAGACAAGAAAAAGAAGAAGAAGAAGGGTGCCCTCTTTATGGATATTGAGCCCGAACCTAGCTCCCGGCCTGAAGTAGCGGTTCCTGCCGAGACCGTAACGGCCGCTGAACCCGTGGATGAACACCCCAAGCCATCTTTGACGCACCAGCAGCCACCGAGGCTCCCGAGGACACCTGGTCTTTTACCCCGCTCGCTAAGAAAGACAAGAAGAAGAAAAAGAAGCAGAAGGGTATGCCGTCACCCGAACTTGAACCCGTGTCTCAGTCCCAGTTCTCCTTGGAACCGTCCGTTGAAAGCAGCCTTCTTGAGCCCGACGCCCTCGTCTCACCCATTGGGGAGCAAGATTCCCTTGATATTCCTGCCGATGGCTGGTCTTCTTCCCTTGATGGAAAGGAAAAGAAGAAGAAGAAAAAGAAATCTTTGACTTCTCAAGTGGAACGAGAACCCGACTCTACCCTCGAAGCCGCCCTAGCTGCCCCCGACCATGCTGATGAACCGAATACTTTCGTCGACGACGTCCCTCCCCCGAAATTTCAACGCTAGCCACTGACTCTACTACCGTGTCCAAGAAAGACAAAAAGAAGAAGAAGAAGAGGGATCCAGCGGAAGTTGAAATTGATTCGGGGGCGGCTAGACCTGATGCTTCACACGCCACCGTTGACCAAATGACGGAGTCTCCCTCTCCTGCCATTCTCGGACCCACCACGGCTACGGACAGCTTGGCTCCTGAGGATGAATGGGCGTTTACATCGCCCGGCGACGACAGACAGGCTGAGAGGAGCAAGAGTCTGTCTGACCCCAATCTCGAGGGCGGTGTGACGGGTGATCCTACACCGCTAATGCCTGATGCTCCTGCTGAGCCGACTGACTATCCCACCTGGACAGAAGAGGCTTTGAAGCCTTCAGTAGGAGGGAAGATGGACGACGCCACCCCCTGCCGATCTAGAGCCGACACCTGCGCGTCTAGAGGTTGATGAAACCACAACCAGGGCCGTGCTTGGCCCCGTCGAGCCCATAAGGGACACGCCTGAAGATCTTGATGCTGACCTCACATTCAGCGGTAGTCCTGCAGAGGAATTCTCCTTCTCCACTTCCAAGAAAGACAAAAAACAGAAGAAGAAGAAGAAGAAGGGGTCACATTTTGACAGCTTAGATGTGCCGATAGAGGCTGATCCCGCGCCAGCGTCTGAGCAGGCCTTTGCTCCTCGCGATGACGAGTCCTTTGATGTCTCCGTGGACGATACCCGCATGGTACCTGTCAGTGAAGACGAGGAAGGTCGTAACCAATCACAAGACGCTGGAGAAGTCGAATTAGTCGAAAAGGGCCAGAAGAAAAAGAAGAAGAAGAGCACGATTTCTCTTGAAGAAGTCGCCCCACAAAGCAGTTCTGTACCTTCTGAGCCCGAATTGCAGATCTATGACCCGCCCCAGGAGTATGTCCTTCCCGTACAGGATGTCGAGCCAGAAGATGAGTGGGCGGCTGGAGGCAGCAGCAAGAAGAAGAAGAACAAGAAGAAGAAGGATACCACCTTTTCTTGGGATACTTCTCAACCGGACCCGACCCAAGTCGGGGACTTGCCTATCGAACACGCGCAAAAAGACACTAAGGGTGAGCCCAGCCAGGCCGAACAAATACCCGAGTCGGAACTAGCAGCACAACAGGCCGAGCAGACCGACATGTGGGCTCCAAGCAAGAAGAAGAAGCAAAAGAAGAATAAGAGGATGGATTCACTTCCCTTCGATCTCAATCCAGAGCCTCTGGCTATGGGAGAATCAAAGGACATCCCCCTGTTCCCGAAACCGAATCTAATGAAACTTCTCTTCTGGTGGCATCCATGGAGCCCGAGGCCTTCGTGGAGGTCACTGATACCAATATTGTCACTCTGCTACCGAACGATGATGGTTCCGTCGCCGAGCCCGCCGAGTCCGCCAAGTCCGCCAAAGCTAGCGGAGAAAAGTTACTTGCGCCTGTCGATGAATCACATACTCCTGACTTGGGTACACTAGCTCTGGATGCTTCAGCCGACACAGGCTCTACTCATCCTGTCACGGAGCAAGAGCCTGTCCTAGACCCTATTGCTGACCCTACCCCAGTTGACGATGACTGGAGCTTTGAGGTAGCAGGCGCAAAGAAGAACAAGAAGAAGAAGGGCAAGGCCTCCCGTCAAGATCGTAGCTCTAAGTCGGTTATCTCACCAATCTCTCAAGATGAGATACCTACTTCTGAACAGGAGAAGAGGTCCAGCTTGTGCCGGCCCTGGACGAGGCCGAACTGATCAATCCGCCGCAAGCGTTTGATCAGGAGGATTCGGCATCCCAGCCCCGTGATACGCCCACTTCTACAACTACTATACCGGCGCCTTCTCGACCCTCCTCTCCTACTGTTAATGACGAATGCCCTCCGTTGGCTGACGAGAACCCTCTTCCCACAGACTCTAGGAGTCAAACTTCTCATGCAGCTGATCCCACTGAGCTGCCACTCCATGGTATTTTGACTACGGAAGTCGTCACTGGTGATGAGAAGCTCATTCCCGAAGAGCCTAGTGACTCCCTGACACAAGTTTATCCCGCCCATGATGCGACGGTCGGGGACAGCAGAGTTGAAGACGCTATTGATGATGCCGAGGAATGGGGATCTTTCACCACAAAGAAAACCAAGAAGAAGAAGGAAAAGAAGACCCGTGGGGAGATCGCTCCGACGCCTTCACCTCAGCCGCGCCCCGTGATCTGTCTCCCATGCGTGATGCAAGCGACGAGCTCTCTAGAGTGCCAGAAAGCCTAGCTCCCGACCACTCTCTTCAACCGGAGCCCTCGGCTGACGTCGAACCCGAACCAACTTCTCTGGGAGACAACGACAAGCCATCAACATCCGTTGACAATGTGGACGAATGGGCTTTCACGCCTAAGAAGAAGGGCAAGAAAGGGAAAAAGCGTGAGACATCGGCCGTTGAGTTGATAGCCCCCGAACCCGACAACTCCGCCGAGACGCTCAAAATCCATCAGGATGCTTTACCTAGCTCTGACGAAATACCTGCTGCCTCCCCGGATGACGTCTTCGAAACAGGTCCTCCACCAACAGAGCCGGTTGATGATTGGGCCTCTACTCCATCAAGTAAAAAGAGCAAGAAGAACAAGAAGCGAAAATCCGAGACCACAACCCCAGTCACCTCGCGTCCTCTTTCACCAATCCAAGCCGCCATACCGATTGAAGCCGCCAATCTATCATCAGAAACCCAGCCCGACCCCCTCACTCCTACCTTGGATGAGCCGACCGAATCCATCCTTCTAAGCGCCATGTCCGATACACCTATTGTCCAGGAATCTGCCCTGCAAGACGCCATTCCGGAAGAGCCCATCCCTACACCCCTTGTGCTCGATGAGGTCGATGTGGCGATTCCCGCGGACGCCCAGCCAGAGAAGATGGAGCAAGCGGGTGTTGATGAGGACTGGGGATTCACGCCGAGCAAAAGAAGGGAAAGAAGAGCAAACTAAAGCGCGAGGTTGCTGATGAACCTACCCTAGCAGCATCCCAGCCCCCATCGCCCAGCAGCCGAGTCATCCCCAGCACTGACGCAACCGACTTCCTAGAATCTCCATTCGCAGAGCCATCGGCCCAAGGTGCTCTCCCCATGGTTGTTGATGCTGAGCCTCTTGCAGACCCCTCTGATGATTGGGGATTCCCACGACCAAGAAGAAGGGTAAGAAGGGCAAGAAGAAGGATGTTTCTCGAGCCCTTTCACCAACTCCTGATGACGTGGCTGCAGTGGATGATGCTATTCTTGATGATCTGGACACTTCCAAGCCCAACGTGGTTCTTTCACCTGAGCCTATTTCTGCCGAGTCCGGAAACCAGTCAAGAGCGCTAGAGGATCCTACGGAGCTCGATCCTGACAACTGGAGCTTCTCACCCAAGTTAAAGAAGAAAGGCAAAAGGGCAAAAGGCGAAATATGATGAGCCCGAGACTGCCCTCCCCACACTATCCCGCCCATCCTCTCCCCGTGAGCAGAACAATGCCTCTATCCAATCACTCGAAGGAGTTGATGAACCCGCAACGACCGAGTCGGAACCCGCCACCGTCCAGGAACACAATATCTCGGACGCGCCAGCTCTATCGCGGCCAGCGTCACCGATTCAGGACAACTCTTTTGCTCAGCCTCCCGAGCCAGCTGATCAGTCAACGGAGGAAATCTCCAGTCAACCCACGGTGCCTCCAGAAGACTTGTTTGTTGGATCTGAGCCCCGGCCGGGCCCCTACGTCAAGAAGAGGAAGAAGACTGGGGCTTTGCTGACGCGAAGAAGAGAAAGAAAGCCAAGAAAGCCAAGTCCAAGATGATGGATCTAGCTCTGCAGCCTCCAATCGATGAGCCCCCGCCCAGAGTTGATGACGACCATACTGTCATGCCAGACCCTGAGCCACCCTTTGAGGGCGCAGATGACTGGGCAGCGCCTGCTAAGAAAAGAAGGGCAAGAACAAGGGTGCGCTCGTCTCGGACGCTATGACGTCCACTGCGCCGCAACCCCCTCGACTACTCATGATGAGGTCATCCCCTCTGTCAGGGATACCCCCGAGCCCGATATCCTGTCCCCTCCTGCCGATTTCACGGATCCAATCCAGCCAGACGCAGACCCTGCCGCTACCGCGCAAGAAGAAGATGATTGGGGTTTCTCAGCCTCGAAAAAGAAGGGCAAAAGAGTAAGAAGAAGGCACAAGCCTTCCTGAGCACGCCAACAGTCTCCCGTCCCCCATCTCCTATACAGGATGAATCTACAGGCGACCGATCAACTCATATCCCTGAAGCCACCGAGGAGCTTTCTTTGTTGCCACCGGTTATTGATGAATCAGCGCCCATCCCTGAAACCACTGGGGAGCCTTTGGAAGCCCCGCAAAGTCTGATCCAGCAAGCGCCCGCTCCACAGGACCAGGATGAGTGGAGCTTCACTGCCCCAAAGAAAGCCAAGAAGGGCAAGAAGAACAAGGCGATTGCTACTGACTCCATGCCTTCTCGACCATCTTCACCGGTCAACCGCCAGGCACCCATACTTGCGGAAACTTTTAATCCCCTTGTTGAATCTCTAGGCCCCCAAGTGGACGACGCAGCTCCAACCGGCCAGGAAGAAATGGGCGAGAGGTTCACAACACCCGAAGCGGAAGGCGAAAGAGCCAAGGAACCAGATGCCGCCTCTGATATTCCTGCACCAAATGCCTTACAACCTCTTCCTTCTTCGCCAGTCACTGAACCCATGGGAGATCAAGTCGCTGCCGTTGCCTTGCCTGTACCCGAGATCGTTGAGGCCGAACCAGTGGACGACTGGGCCTTCACCTCGTCAAAGAAGAATAAGGGCAAGAAAGGCAAACAGCGAGGCCGAGAAGTTGACGCGCCCGTGCCGGTCAACGTTTCTAGAAATGCCTCCCCGACTCGTGAAGCTGAAACCGAAGTCGTTAGCAGCCTTCTCGAAACGACCGCGGACGATGAGTGGGGAAGTTTACCACGGAAGAAGTCCAAGAAGAAGGGCAAGAAGGACAAGGTAGCTCAGTACGACTTCGAGGAGGAGTCTGTTGGGATGCCCTTCATCGCCGAGTCGGCCGACAGGGAAACCGCAGCCGAACCCGCTTCCAAAGCTCTCGACTTCGACCTCACCCCAGCTCAAGCAATCAGCCATATCATCCATGAGGCCCCCTACGAACGATCGCCACGGCCAGAAAAGAAGCTGCGCGTGGATCATGTTGAAGAGACCATTCTACTTTCAGAGCCAATCCTTTCTCTCGCAGAGCCTAGTTCGGTGGGCCGTGGAGACGACGAACATTGGGACGAGTCCAGAGACGTCGACTTGGGTGACGGCTTCCTAGGTGCTGGGCCTTCAAAATATGACGACAGCTTTATGGAGGATGTGTACGAAAAGCCCCAGAAGGTCGCCGACAAGAAACCCAGGGAGGCAAAGTCTAAGGGTAAAGGTAAAGAAGTGGAGGCAGCTGCAACTGCTGCTCCAGCTGTAGCCGCCGCCGTAGGCGCCGTCTCTTCTCTCGCGCAAAAATTTGGTGGGCAGGTATCAAGACCTAAGAAGAAGCAGAAGGCAAAGAAGATTGTGGACAAGCGTGGAGATCGGGAGCCTGATCTTTTCGATGATCCGGTGTTGTGGGAGACAAGTGACCGAAAGACGTTGCTTGGAGAGGAGGTACCAGGTGAAGTGGATGCGTTCTGGGGCGGTGGTAAGAATGAAGTGTTGGAACAAATAGGAGAGGGTCCGGAGGTATCAGGCAACTTTTCCGAGAAGGCCGATGACCTTGACTTCTGGGGTGCTGGCGAAGATGATGAGCCCCGGATGGAGCGCGGTGGTACGACGGCGGCTACGGATGAGCCCCTACTCGGGAAGTGGATATGATGGCCACAGATGAGGGCCGGGCGGTGGGTGATCGAAAGGAAAAGGCCGGTGTTGAGGAGGGCAAGGTCAAGGCGGTCATCGAACGTGTTAGCCTTGATGTTGTTGACCCAGATTCGGAGACTCGACAACCGACAAGGACATTCGATGAAGCAGAGGTTGTGGAGCCGATGGAAGAGGGGAATACTTGGTCCCGGCCTGTCTCCAACATTGGTGAGGTGGTTGGGCCGATCATGGTGGATGTTGTTGACTTTGAGGAAGAGATGGCCCTCGAGCTAGGCGATAAGGAGATGGAAAGAAGCCAGCCTACGCCAGAGTTGGAGATTGTGGAGGAACCAAAGGATAGGAGTTCATTCCCTCACCAACCATCCCCTATGCATCCAGGATGGAGGTCGTTGAAACGGCAGAGGGGAAGCAGACTAAATCGGGGCAGGGCACAGACCCGTCTACGATGGAAGTTGTTGACGCGAGGGAAGAGGAAGTGATGGAGGCATCTACACAGCGGGGGATAGTGGGTAAGCCCGGAAAGATGGAAATTTCAGCCTCACCAGCCGCCTCCGACGTGCAACCGGCCCAAGCAGACCGCCAATCTCGAGGAAGCGAGCCGATGATCCGATCACGGTCAAGAGGCTTCGACGACTCAATCCCTGAGGTCGTAGCAGCGGTGGCGCCAGATTCTGATCTGGGTTCAATTATCTCACGCGCGGAGTCACCTGTGGCGAGGCAAGAGAGGCAAGAGAGGCATCGGAGCCAAGAGAAGGGAAAGCACGTCGCTCATCGCAGCGAATTCAGCCCGTCTGCCAGCGTCTCTCGGAGCCTCGGTAGTGACGGCACCGACTTGCCTACTGAGGACTCGCCGCCAGTCCGCAGAGAGGTTGGGGAGGCGAGGCACGCGCGATATACGGACCACGGCAGTAGCGAAAAGCAGGAGGCCAAATCCCGGAGCTTCATTCATGATATATTGGACGATTCTAGTCTAGGTGTGGATCCGGCTTACACGCCAACAAGACGGTCGCTCTCACGCGGCCTCGAGCCAGTACCCGAGGAACCTACACTCGGATTCACACCAAGACCCGCAAAGAAGAAGGATCGGCCAGTCAGCGCCCTCCCACCAACAACTCCGGACATTGGCAGGGAGGGTGGCTTAATCGTCGACTCGCCCCACGACCGCCGTCGAGGCAACTGGGCGGAGGAAGGGCCTCACCGGGATAGCGGAGTACACCTGAAGGATTGGTCCGACACACCTCGAGGACAGAGCCCCGAACGGCGGAGCTTCAGCGCCAGGGACCGACCACACTCGGCAGAGAAGGCAGAGAGACAACTCAGGCGGTCGCCGCTCGGGTACAGGGACCTACACGACCACCCACTGTCCAAGGCGCCCATGCTCCGCGAGCCATCCTCGAGGCACGGGACACCGGAGCCGGAAAAGACGATACGGCGGGCCGCTTACACGCCAACACCAGAGGACTCGAGCAGCAGCAAACGACTCAGGTACCAGGAACTTCAGACACCACTCCCTACGGAAAACCCGAAGCGCGCAGCAGCCACACTTCAAGCGGTTTGGCGGCAGCGGGCGGTCTCGCACGGGCATTGACGGCCTCTCCAGCGACTGGGCACCGGAGCGTGTCAGATACTATTGCGCGATCCTCTGGACTCTCGCCGAGCCCAGATGTGGTGCCAAGGCGTGTGGCGTCCAACACCAGCCTCACGCGCCACAGGACGCCTGAGCCACATCGATTCAGGCCTGATACCCCAGGCAGCATTCGGTCGCTCCACAGCGCCACACCTCCTCTTCGGCGCGTGGATCGACGAATCAGCGGCGACCTTCGATCTCTCAGCCAACGAAACCAGGGCGGTCAAGTCGGCGAACCCGGCTCAGCTCGTGCTGAATCCTCATCCAAAACGCGTAGCCTCGACCACACTCAAGATCTGCCGTCTGCCGAAAACACCAACCCCGTGGCCAACGAAGGCCGTGTCCGCTCCAAGGACATGACCGACGTCTATGTAAGTTGTATCGACGGAGCCCGTCATTCCCCCACTCTTCCCGGCCAGGCAATCTGTTTTGCCCTTGTCCTCCTGCCCCTCCTTGTCCGCGCGCCCGTGCTCCGACTGACTTTTTTCTCCCCGCCCCCTCACAGGATGGCTTTGGCGAGGGTCGCATCGGGTCGCCCCGATCGCCCACTCGACCACACAGCATGCGCCGCCGACAAAGCATGCAAGTACTCGAACTGGAATCCAAGGTCAAGGAGCTTATTGCCGAAAACCAATTGCTGCACAAGGAGCGCCAGACAGCCGACCAAACGTACTCTCAAAATGCCCACTCCCTTCTCTCCGACCGGGACTCCGAGATTGACGCGCTCAAGCGCTCCCTCGAGCTTCTCAACCGCGAGGTCAGCCGCCTCACCGAGGTGAACGCGGGTTTGACCGCCGCCAATACCCAGCTCGCCAACGAGCACAATGGCCGCTACCGCGACCTCGAGCTACTCCATGCCAGCGCTGCGAGAGAGCTTGAGACCTCGCGCTCCACACAGGGCAGCTTCGAGCAGCGCATGCACGATAAAGATGTCGAGATCGCCGAGCTACGCACCCAGCTCGAGTCGGCGCAAGCCAAGGTACGCGAGATGCAAAAGCAAATTCTTGAATCCTCGCGGCCCGCCGATCAAGACTTTTGGACGTTCGCAATGTCGACCAGTTCGATCACCGGTGCCAGCAGCTTTGTCAACATGTGCAGCAGTGGGTTCTGCGGTTCTCCAAGTTCTCCGACATGCGCGCGTGTCGCCTTACGGGAGAGATCAACGACGAGAAGATCATTGATCGACTAGACAACTCCATTCTCGACGGCTCCGACGTCGACGTTTATCTTCAGGACAGGGTCAGGCGCCGCGACGTCTTCATGTCCATGACGATGAATATGATCTGGGAGTTCATCTTTACGCGCTATCTCTTCGGCATGGATCGTGAGCAGCGCCAGAAGCTCAAGTCTCTGGAGAAACATCTGACAGAGATTGGGCCTACCCATGCGGTGCGCCTCTGGCGCGCCGTGACCCTCACCCTTCTCTCGCGCCGCGAGTCGTTCAAGAGGCAGCGCGATCTCGATACCGAGGCTGTCGTGCAGGCTATTCTAGAGACCCTGTCCGTCATTCTACCTCCCCCTCTCACCTCGAGGATCAGATACAGAGCCAACTACGGCGCGTCATGGCCGAGGCAGTCGACCTCGCCATCATGATGCGCACCCAGCGCGCCGAGTACATGATGTTGCCCCCGCTGCAGCCCGAGTACAACCCCGACGGCGAGCTCGTCGAGACCGTCACGTTCAACGCGGCCCTCATGAACGAGCGCGGCGGCGATAAATCCACCACCAACGAGGAGCTTCAGGCCCAGGGCTCCATCGTCCGCGTCGTACTCTTCCCCCTCGTCGTGCGCAAAGGCGACGACATGGGCGTTGGCGAGGACGAGATCGTTGTCTGCCCCGCGCAGGTGCTCGTCGCCCGGAGCAGCCGTCGCAAGTCGCGCCAAATCACCCCTCGAGTGACTTTGGAGGCGTCGCGGTCGGCGCGTCTGCGCACGACCTTCAAGACCCCAGCTTCCTTGACGACAGGGCGTGAGACTGGCTCGTTCCTGTCCACCTTCCCAGCTTGTTCAACCGTCGAACCCACCAATCTTGATGGCTACTTTTCTCCTACTTTTCTCCTTCTTCATTTGTGTTCTTCATAACAATCTTCTCTTCCAGCATGCCTACCATCTTATTCCCAGGCAGGCCACGCCCTATACCACCTTGCTCCTCCCTCTTGATAGGAAGAGGATATACATACCCTTCAGAGTGTTCTCCACTCGGTCACACTCACCTTCTTTTCTCTTTTTTTTTTTCTTTGTTTGTGCTTCAGACCTTCTTCCTTGTCTTTTGGTAAATGTTCTCTTGTGGTCTCAAGTAGATTTTCCTTTTTTATCTTGTTTGAACTCACCGTTTGAACTATACACTGTTTTTTCTGTTTTTGTTCCATGTTTTGCCACTTTCTTTTTCCTTTTTACCATGCAACATAGCTGAGCTCGTTTAGTTTCATTTTTCTTTCTTATTTTGTTGCGTTGGGAGGTACAATCAATCATCTTGGATATACTCATCTTTGCTTGTTATGTCTTTTCTTGACACCAGCAGGGATGAAGAGATGCTAGAGGGAGGCTGGCAATCGGACCAGGAAACGGAGTTTCCTACAGGGCGAAGGAAGGCTTGTGATGTCCTGGTTTGGGTTTTGCTTCTCTTTCATCCAGTCAGAAAAATGGGAGGGGGAGTTTCTTTTTCTATCAGTTCTATCCTGTAATTGGCGGTTAAGCCTGGCGTTGTTGCTAAATCCTTTTTGATATATAAATCTATTTCCCAACCACTTTTGAACCAATGTGGTGAACCCATGTCTATCTATACCCAAAATGCCTCTCTATCCATGCCCTTAGTCTATGCCGTTCGAATCACCCTTGCCTCGCGACTCCACCAAAATTAAGAGAGACTCGCGGCGTGTGTGAGGCGCCTAGCGTCCACTTCGGCCAACAAACCCGCTCTACCGCCACTGTTGCCAATTAATAGATATCGATGGATCGTGAAATCCGGCGAGGTTGAACTCGCCAGTAGTAGGGTCCGCTGGGAAAATCGAGTTTAGAGCTTCCCAGTCCACGTCTTCCAGCTCGTTGACCGCGGGATTTACCAGAACCTCCCTAGGCCGCTATATCCAGAAAACGTCATACCCGCGAGATGTGGGTGATGGCCACGGTTATCAACCCCCTAGAAGACTGGCCTGGGGGCTGAACGAGGTTGAGGGAGCCTGCTAACAAGGCAGTATCTGACTGGGACGAGGTGGGTGCCTGCGGCTGATAATATGACTGTAGATGCTGTTGCTGTTGCTGCTGCTCGTCCCCCAGTATGGAGAGACGCTCTGGACTAATGCTTTCTCTCCCGTACCCAATCGATTCCGCATCCAGACCCGACGCGGGAGACGTGGCCTTGGTTAGTCTTGGCGATCTGATACCCCGAATGCTATTATAGACAGCACTCTTGGTCTGGATTTCGTTCAGAATATGCAAGGTCTTGAGCTCCGACGGCATGTGGCGGTCGAGGCTAAACACGTAGTCAAGGCATGCCCATATCCTTGCCGAGTCGCGACCGTTTGGGGCGGAGAATGCCTCGGTGGCAAGAAGGAGGGCGACCTGATATTGGACGTATGCGCCAAAATACCACACCCAGTCTCTGAATAACCTATCGTTCTCGATCTGGATGGCTATTTCGACAATCATGATACCTGCCATGAGCAAGACGTTGCTCAGTTGTTGAGGAAGCTGTGAGTCCCAGGTACGATAGTATCGGTGGAGAACCATTGCGTACAGTCGATAGAGCAGTAGATGCATCACCAATTTAGTGTACCTCTGAATGGGGTCCTCATCGCTCAGCATACCCTCGTACTTGACAATCATGCGCTTTCTAAAATCCTCCGTCTTGGAAAGCAATTCTGTCAACAGCATCTTCTTGCTCTCCAATTTGCGCCTGTCATGCCAAACCACTCGCATCATTTCGTTGATTTCAAATCGAATCAACGACAGGAGAATCGGCGTCCACTGTTCCTCGGCGACCGGTGATGGCCCATTCACGCGGATGGCGCTTTCTTCGCAATTCACCGGAAGTTTCACATCGTACTCGTCGCGTCGAATAAATGGTCGAGGGCCGTGGGCCTCGGCTGCCCGAATATCGAGAAAGCACAATTGGTGCCAGATCAGGCGGCGGACGTGGGTATCGACGGGGTTTAACCCATAACTTTCACCATCTCTATGAAGACCAATCGACTCGGCCAGTCTTATCGCAGCTCCGACCAACGAAGAATGAGCTCGAGAAACCTCAGCTCGGCAGAGCGGGAGCTATAACAATAAGTTAGTCAAATGCAAAGCCTCGCGTTTCTCCTGCTGTGGGCGCGGTGGTTTTCTGCGCTGGGAGACGCCAGGTAGAAGATCACATACCAGGTATATCACGAGGGCCTGGACGGTTTCCGTTCTCGTCGTCCTGAGAAACGATGCTTTGCAAAGGGCTGCCTCGGCCCCAATCTGAAGGTTTCCTACGAGAACCCTTTTATCTCGGCCAAAGCGTTCGACTGCTTCTTTCTCACCTAGGCTGACAGCTGCACTAAACATGACAGAAAACATGACGGCCTGAAGGGATGTCTTCGGTGCCGCGCTAGAGCATACGTCATCCCAAAATGCTTGGTAGTCCTCGCGAAAGGACGGCTTGTGAAGACAGCGGGCGACTGGATGGACGGCTCGAAAGTACTGCTCCATAAGCTGGTCGCAAGTAGTTCTTGGAGGGAGAAGCATGTCCAAGGGAGTCGAAGGATGTGCTGCCTGTCCGAAGGCGAACCCGCTTGAGGGAGCTATGTAAGTCGGTCCTGGACGCATAAAATCAGGAACTGAGCCGTCCGGAGTGGGTCCCGGTGCCCAGTTGGTCAAGCCGGCCGTCGGTACGGAGGTGTCCGCACTCTGTGCCGACGGCACAGAGGAGCCAATGGCCGCTAGTAACTAAACTCGGATACGTACCGTTAGTGACGAAGCGCAGGAACATCAGTGGGGTCTGGGGACAAGTGTGGGAGCGAAAGCGAGGCCACCAAGGCCGTTTATGCCGCTTACCTCCTCACTCAGCTGCGGTCTAGGAAGGCCACCCATGTGATCAGTGATTCGCATCCGCCCGACCTGGACTCCCAAATCAAGGACATCCTCGATCCCTTCCAGAGCGTCTTGAGCATGTTCTTTATCAACACTGACGAAGAAAGAAGGCCAAGGATCCAAGTCATCAGCGAAATCGTATTCAATATCGTCCACAACCAACCTCTGCTGGCTGGGCACGCGTGAAGATGAGCCCGGTTTGGCGATATCTCTCTCCAGTGCGCGTTCGAGAGAGCCAACTTTCTCTTTAATTTCAGTAAGTCGTATCTGGCTTGCTTCGTCCAACTTGGAAGAGAGGAAAACGCATTCGCGGGAAAACTTGACGCAATTCTCGCATGGCGACTTCTTGTTGCACTTGAGCTTCCGGCGTCGACACTCGAGACATGAGGTTATCATGCGCATGCGGCGACGGATAGGTTTTCCCGCTGGGGAGTTGGGAGAAGCACCTTGAGAGGTGTAAGACGGCGACTGAGATGAGGATGCCCCTTCCGCGAGCCCTCCGGACGCCGGATCACGTAAAGCGGGACCGGAGCTGTCTGTTGGGGGCTTCCAGGCCCACTGCTCGCGGACATGGGTCTAGATGAGACTAATTCAGCAAGACGGCGTGTTTAGTCTTTTGATTAGATTGCTCTTGGGAAAAAGGGACACTTATAATAAAGATAGAAGATGATGGCTTACACTTGGATTCTAGTCCCCCTAGGCTCCTTATAAGCTAATGCACTGTTGTTTGTTTCCATTGATGATGGAGTGGAAACCTGGCGTCTTGCTTGATATAGTGTATTTCTTTTTTGTTTCTTCCCTCTTCTAAGGTAGTTCGTCCGCGATATGTCCCGGTTAGGCTGGGTACTCGCGTACCTAATTCCCTTCTCCCCTCATGTCATAATTGGTTTCTCAGATGGTGGTGGGGGAGGGGTTGTGCGTAGTAAGAAGACTCTTACGCACGTAAGGAACTCGGGCCTTTCGGCCTCCCCTCCTTTATTTTGGCTTCCCAGGGACACGCACACGAAGCTCTATCATACATGGAAGTTGCGGCAATAGCTCAGGTAGCATACGAGAGGCTTCGGAAGTTAGCAATTTAGGGCTCAGGGGCTCTAATTGCGCTTATTGGTAGCGCAATTCCTTCTACCTCGGTAGGGCTGCGGATGAGTGCATGAACCTGATACCTGCACCCCACCTCAAGGGATCGAACAGAAGCCGGGGATGGGAGAATGGATATCGATCCCGCCAGTGATCAAGTTTGGTTCGATGGCACGAGAGGAGGGAAGAGAGAGAGAGAGGGGGATGTGGATCTACGGTGCGTCGGGGCAGTAAGAAGTACGGCAAGGGGTGGGAGGCTATAGTAGGCCGCGTGAGGGTGGTGTCTGCTGGATGTAGTGGGCGGTTGTAGGCTGTGTAAGTGCAGTGGGAATATGGTGATTTAAAGTGATAAAGGTACCTAAAAACGTCCTTGACGATATCATTGATCTATCCATCCATCCATGGATCCATTGGATCCATATGGATCACCTTGTCGGATAAGGAGCACTAATAAAAGGCGCGCCTGTCAACTATTGCTTGTCAACGTACCCTCCTCTACGTCAGCGAGTTTAGACGAATCAAGGGTTCGCGCCTTCCGTCGCTAAACCTAGGGGCTGCAGACGGCAGGATCAAACAGGGAAGTCCGGTCTGCGATAGAACGTCAAGACTACGAGAAGCGTTATTTGAACACTTTAGACTGTTGAACCTTCCTGCCCATGCTTCGTCAAGAGTGGGCCCCGCAAAAGTGGGTGGAAGGAAACTTGCAAGTCCCCTAGAAGGGAAGGGAAGGAGCAGAAGGGAGGGAGCAAAAGGGAGGGAGCAGAAGGGAAGGAGGGCGGGATGAGGGATGCCGGATGCGGGAGGGAAATGGGATGAACCTGAAGTCACTCGTAGAAAGCATGGCAAGTGATGAAGGAAATCAAACAGACTGATTGTAGGATTTGCCATGCTCTCTCCATTCTTCTCGAGAACCGCATGAATAAGTCAGAAGGTAGGAGGCAGGAGACAGGAGGGTGGAGGGTGCCATTCCGGGTCAACTTTGGTCAAGGCGCCACAAGCGGATGAGATCAGTTCGGCAATAGGCGGTGCTTTTGTGATGTTTGTTCCATTTGTCCAAGATCTTCATCTCGGTTGCCGAGGTGTCGTCTGAATTTGACAATGCCCAATACTTGGTGAGTCGATCACGCTTTCGGGGGCTGATGGCCAACAAAGACTCAGGATTCAGGTCGGCTTTGTGGATCAGAAACCGTACCAGCGATAGCAAGCAGCAGACGAGATCTGGACATTGAAGTCTCCCTCGCCCCCAAGCCCGGGCGAAATGCCCACATTCAGCAAGCCATCATCGTGAAACCCAGGAGGCAGAACACTTCGGAACTAGGCACCCGGTCACGCACATCTGAGATATTTGCAGCAACGATTCCTGGATGAAGAGCCGCGCAAACGAACAAAGCTTGTCTGGAGCATGTCGCAAGATGGAATGTGGGCATTTGCTCCGTAATGGCCATTTGATTTGACCGCACGCACGGGCACAGGCTCAAGTCGCCCGCGCCCGATCCCGCCGCAAGACGATATGCTCCTTCTCACCCTCTATTGCGAAAAGTTCAAGAGATGCCCTTTTAGTAGCTGGTGCGCCGGTAGATCTCCTGCGGATTTGAAAAAGTTGGCTGATATTGCTTAAGTTGAGGCGCAAGTGGAGATGGTCCCTGCCTCGGTGGCATCGCCCCAAATGAATGCTGAAACTAGGGCTGCGGGCGAAAGACCACCAAAACGACCCACCTTGTACCGATCGCGGCCGCGAGAAGATAGTCAAGCTCTCTCGGGGGTTAATGTTGGCTACGAGGCAATGAGGATCCGCGGGACGCCATCTTCTGCTTCTCCGGGTGAAGGCAACTCTGCAATCTCACCAAGGTCCCATGTTAGGGTCTGATCTCCTTGTACATGTTAGCCAAGAGGTCGCGATATGGCAGGCGGCCTCTGATAATTACATGTAGGAGCTGCGCGGGCCGACAGGACAAATGAGAAAGCCAATGGAAAGGAAGGCCTCTGGATATTCCTTGCTCCTCCTCCATCTCCCATCTTTTTCTCCCCGCGTCCGCAGTGTAAGCAAAAGTCTACATGGTTCCCAAGTCCCGAAAAAATGAACCAATTCGCATCGGCCAAAGCTACGGGGAGTCCGATATCCAGACCAGACGGGCGTGCCCGGCGCCAACACGAGAATATACTTTCAGTGTGTTGCGAAACCGTCTGCGCCCTCAATGTGCGAGGATGCCGTCCAAGTGGGTTTCAAGTTGTCTTGTGATAAAAGGAGCAAGACTCTGGAAAAAAGGGTGTTAATCAAGATAAATGGGTGTTTGGTTCGTTGCCACATGGCAAGATTGCCCGTTCCCGAGCCCCACCGTTCCTCTCTATGTTCGTGCAAGGTCTGAAAGTGTGCAGCCTGCGCCGCTGTGGGCCCGCGATTCGGCACATCGATCCAATCGATGCCCATCCTGGTCTCCCTGTAACTTATTGATATATCCATGATCCATGGATGTATATGTTCCCCTGATATAAGTCGTCATGCTCTATTACCCCCGTTTTCTGTTTTCTACAATCAATGTCTTTGGTTTAATGCGGTTCTCGACTGTTCGAGAAGAGGTTTCGCTGGGTCAGGGAGAACGAAATCTGTTCTATGCGCTGACAGTTGAGAGTAGCTTTATGAATCCCTCTGAGCTACGCGTCTCATGTGGGAAATCCGTGCACCAGCTGCACGTACATTCTTGGCATAACTTTATGATGAAGCTGTGCCAACGTCAAACGCTCGGCTGCCTCGCCTCATTCTGGCACACTTTATTCCTCGCACCCATGAACCTGAGAGGCGCTGATCTGCAGGGATCATTTGCTTGACTTGGACGAAGCCTGAGGGCCAAACAGCCCCCAAATCCCTCCTCGAAGGAGAAAAGATCTTGATGAAGAAATGAACAGAAGGTAGGGTGGGCCAGGAAGAGGGGGGTTCCCGGGCCTAGCTGCCGACCTACACGGTTCGCAAGGAACGGGGAGCAAGGAAAATTGATAATCAATGGATCAATTAAGCCCTCCAACACTCACCCACCCTTTTCATGTTACTTTAGGACGTAAAGAAGGATCGATGGATGAATTGAGCTTCACGACAACCTCTGCCGTCGGTCATCCGAAGCACAGAGGCTGATTTGTGGCCCCCAATGAATGGGATTGGTCCAACGATCGATCTCTTCATTCAACGTCGTTGAATGTGCGGGCGAGACTATCAAGTGACAGTCTGTGCCCACTAACCTCTTAGCCGTTCACCACCCCTTCTCGTCCCCGGGAGTTGCTGCGGATAAAGCAAAGAGCAAACTGATCGACGGAACCTAAACATTACCACTCCGCTCGTCCGGTCGCTCACGAAGAAGGTCTTGGGGCTCTTGCGTCGTTCGGCCCCGTTTAATGGGCAACCAGGTCCGTTCCCAGTTGGGAGAAAGTTGCGGATGGCGACGAGCAGTATCCATGGTTCCTGCGGATCCACGACGCATGAGAACTTTTAAACGACCCGTCGAACCTGCCACAGGCGAAGCGGTTCTGCCCCAGTTTTAGTCAAGCGAGCAAGGAAAACCAATGTTGAACTCGAACCGCGGCTCCGCACCGCGCAATTGGGCGAGCACTTTAGGCGTCTTGGAGGTCCACGTGGCAAGCAAGCACGAACTACGCTAACGACAAATCCTTCATCTATGAGGCAGAACCAGAGTGGATGATCATTCTTTAAAAGAGGTCTCCATTGATGAGCGTATCTCCTCAACACATCAGACTCTTCTGCTTCTGCTGCTCATCCCACATCCCCTCCTGAACAGGAAGAAGAGGGCACGAGAAGAAGGCGAGAAAAGAAGAGAAGGGATACTGCTAAACGAGGGGAGGAAGAGAAGGGGAAAGGAGGGGGAGGGCAGGGCCAAGAAAGGGCTCCACGAATCCCACTCGACCCTACGCACGTAGGCTTGGTGTATCAAATGTCGGGGGCTCGGAATCCACCCGTTTATCCATCCACCTAATCTTTATTGAGGCTCTCCCGCGGTTGTATATGTGTGCCACGTTACTCTTGACATGGGAGGGAACTAGCCGCCGCCCTTACCCAGGCCTCCCAAAACACCGCGGATGGATGGATGGGATGGGAATACTCCATAGGAGAAAAGAAAGGTTTTGGCTACTACCGTCTCATTGCCTCGTCGGCCTAATGGTGATGGGTGTGGTTGCGATTGTTACGTGCATCGCTTGGTAGCCCCGGCGCTCCATGGAGTATAAGTGGACTACGCCCCTCGCAGCCAGCGCCCGCACCGCGAGCGTCCCCCTGGCCGGAGGATCCCGGAGCCCGGTCAAATGTAGCGCGATGCGGTCTCAGTGCCGGCATCCTTACATGGATCCATTGATGCATCCCTATATTCAGGTGCAAGTACTCTTGAGATTAATGCCCCTGTTCTTAGCCGCTGGCCTTGTTTTCACATCTTTCTTCTTCTTCCTCCCCCTGGGCCAGTATTTTAGGCTTGGCTCATCCGGGCTAGACCAGGAAGGTGTCATGAAATTCTTTTTCTTCTAGTGGACGTTTGATTATCCCGATGCATTTTGGCACATGCCAACTTGGGCCAGTTGCGTAATGATGGTTCTAGGCTCGTGAATTCCCTTTGCTATTCGGATGGGCAACAAAGGCTCGTGCATCTCGTGTTTTTGAAACCATTCCCTACTATAGACGTCTTCGTTGGCGATGACGAAGACGGGGGCTCGCCCGGGGCAACACCCCATCCCCGCACCCCCTCCACACCTTATTAATTCCCAAGCGGTCGGAACATAATACTCTCCCTGGCCGTTTTCCCCTTGGTGGAAAGTAGTTTGCACTAGGATTAATCGGTCCGGAAGAGCGCCCTGGAGACAATCTTAGAACAGGACTCGTACGCTTGCTCCTGAAAACCCAAACAACTCCAAGCTTACTATACATAGAAGGAGTCTAGCCTGGAGTGCAGATATCGGGTTGATGTCACTATTCCGGCGTGGCGAGTTTGGCTATTGAATGAATTTTTCTTTCTCCTTTTTTTCCATGGAACATGTAACTTGCTAGAGAGGGTACATGGTGGATGGTAGTAGATAACCGAAAAAGGATTTGAAATCGCGGCGCGACCGATTCCATTAATACATTGTTAACTACATTCAATGCAAGTCTACTTATTAGACGAGCGCCATACGCTTCGCTAGGGCTTGTTTATACAAATCTCGCTGTAACGAGACAGGTACCCCCTCTATCTGCTACCCCCGTAATGCCATTCCCAAATCATCCTTGCTCTACTCTCCGCGCCGAAGCATGCGGTTGACTTCCCTCCATCGAAATAGTTCTTGGCCAGCCGTAGAAGCTGCCTCCGGCCCTTGATGAGTAGCGATGAGATCGAGAAGCCATCGAAACAGCGATCCTCGGCCCGGTTGACCATTTGCGAGATCGCGAGTAACCAGGTGTGCCAACGCGTTGAGGATTCGAGGGCCTAGCTTGACCCCATGCCGTGTCAGATACTGAATCCGATTCCTCACTAGGTATAGTCCTGTCCTATCAAACGTCCCCGGAGTTCCCCGGGTCAGGCATTTGTAATCTGCATGGCCGTCTCCTCGATCGCAACCACAGTTCGTTTGGATGCGGTTCTGGGCGCCGTCAGGCCATCCAGAGAAGTAAAGTGAGATGAAGGTTCGCTCGAGTAGAGCGGCAGCCATCTCCCCGAGGTCGCCAGTGCGGTTTGATGTGGAGGAGAGCTCGGAGCTGCCGACGATCGATGGACTCATCTTCCATAAGCGTCTCCATGTACGAAGACCAGAGCCTCCAGTCCCATACCTTGGCGACGCCCTTGGCACCCCGTAAAATTTGTGTGGATATTCCGTGGTAATCGTATACAAGGTGAGGGCCAACCTGTGATCATTGCAAGCTTTTGCTACCATGGCCAGGGGCCTCGCGCTCAGCGTTTCGGGAGTAGTGGCCAGCGCCTCCAGAGACCGGACGAGCGCAGGCATCCGCCCCGTCGAGTGCAGCATCCGACACAGGTTTGTTAGAACCCCCATCTGGCTTTTCCTAGGTAACCTTACACAGACAGCCTGCGCAAACCGCGCCAGAACCAACTCGCTCTCAGTGGCAAGCTTGCTTTCGCACAGTGGTAACATCGCAGCCAGTCCAGCAGGGTCGGATAGAATGCCGTGACTCATGCAATCGAGGGTTAAGAGTTGGCAGAGCTCGATATCAGAGAGGCGGTCTTGCCGCGGGCGGTTGCGAAATAAGCCATGCATGACCCCAAACAGCCACTGAGACGGCACTTTAGGGCATCGGGCGAGAACAGAGAGCCAGAATACTCCAAGAATGCGCGAATCAGGCGAACCCAGCGCCAGTCCGTTGGCATGAAGGACACCCTCGAAAATCTTGCGGTGTTTTCTAAATGAGAGGCGGGCTAAGCCCCGCGAAAGGGCCGCCGCCTTATCTTGAAAAGGCAGCTCGTTCTCCAACCCCGGCTTGCGATGTATGGGAGGGAGACATGGCTTGCCACGAGGTCTGGAGATGGAAGCGAGGACGAGATATGCCGACGCAAGGACGGAGTTGAGATGTTGCTCCGGCACCAGAAGCATCACCTGCTCAAAGACATCGCAAGCGTTCCCTTCTCCATTCAAGAAAGACACTTCTGCCAACAGGCAGCTCCAGAAACGCGCCTCAAAATGATGAGGAACGAGGGCGCCGGATGATGAGGCGATGACAGTGCATAACGAGCTGAGGACGTCTCCAAGTAGAGCTTCTGATCCCGGACGCTGGAGCAAGTGTCCCGGGAGGGTGTTGAGGACATGATGAACGTGATGTGTGGTTAAATGCCCATCTTCAGCGTGCTGTTGCATGCGCGCGAGGAACGCCGCTATATGTGTGCGAAGCGAATCGTCTTGAGCCGTTTGTATTTTAGAGACGAGGAGTTCGAATCACCGTAGAAGGATTCCCCGGGGCTTGTCTGCGTGGCATCATCCCAGATTCCAGACCATACCGGCACGTCTCCCAGAAATTGAGACCATGAACGGGATATTTTAGGCTCAGGTTCTCGAGGGTTCGTAGCCTCCTCTTTCCGTCCCCAAACAGAGATGGGGCCTGCCAAACCCACTTATCGAGATCCTTTGGCATATCTAGGGCCCAGGGGGCCAAGGAGGCTTGCGACTGAAACGAGTACAGGTCTGTCGCGTGCCTTCGGCCGAGGCGCCGCCGGCTCTCGAGCGGGCCGGGAACAAAGGAGACGTGGCGTCGAGTCGCGGTGGAAACGGTGCAATATCGCTCAAATGCGCGGGCTAGGAGGCAATTGGTGATCCATATTCCCTCAGACGTCGTGGCATCTTGCCGGCGGACACACTGGCCAGAGACCTGTGCCCGGAAGGAACGAACAGACATGGAAAATGGGCGGCGGCACTCGGAGGGCTGGCCTAAAAGGGGTAGGTCCAGCTCCCGTATGCAGAGGTCGAGGTCGTATAATCATCGGCGCATGATAACAATCGTTTGAAGGGAGGCCGAGGTTCGTGGGTATATCTAATCGTCTCGTTTGCTCGAATTCCTGTGGAACAGCTTTGGGACAATTCTTTTTATTAGAACCGAAATGATTGGATAGCGGAGCTCATTGTTCCGGGCGATACTCGGATATATTGTGAATTCGTCGATGACTAACACAGCGCTGGTCCACCCGCCACATCCAATCCCAGCCACTCACTAGCCACAGGCGGTAGCTCGCCGATCTGAAGACCATGTGCATGTCAAGACCATCGATGGTGGCATGACATAATCGCGGGGCATCGGTAGAAGCTTGAGGAGGAGGGGCCGAGGGTGCTAGAGCTTGTAACCATGCGGTGCTTGGCGGGGCTCGAGAAAACCTCAGGTCGAGAATATTGGTAGATTTCTTCAAAGTCCTTTTCACACTTGGATAGACGCAAAGTAGAGCCCAACAATTGTCACAATGGAACACTCTTTCGAGCCACTTAAGAATGACTTGCTCCTCCGGGCTGCTTGGGGTAGGCCAATGCTTTTCCACAGTCAGCGAATTGATACTAGAATTTGGCTTGCTAACTATAATCAGGCGAGGAGGTTGAGCGTCCTCCAATGTGGGTGATGCGACAAGGTATATCTGCCCGCGCAGGCTGAGCCAAGCTCTTGAGCCCCTCCCCTGCCCTCCTTTCCAAAGGTGTAATTCAACTGCTAAAAACTTTTGGTCTCGCCGTAGCCGGCAGATATCTGCCCGAATACCACGAAGCAAAGGGAAAACGGGACTTCTTTGAGTGCTGCCGAGATCCGGAGGTGGCATCAACCATCACGCTGCAACCGATCGAGCGCTTCGCTGGCTTGATCGATGCCGCCATCATCTTCTCGGACATTCTCGTGGTGCCGCAGGCCATGGGAATGGTTGTCGAGATGATTGATAAGAAGGGTCCCCATTTCCCTCAGCCTCTCAAGTCCCCCGAAGACCCCCAATACAACCAACTCCTCGAGAAGAATGTGGACGTTGCCCAGGAGCTCGACTACGTCTACAAGGCCATTACCCTGACCCGCAAGAAGCTCGCTGGACGGGTCCCCCTCATCGGATTCTGCGGTGCTCCCTGGACGCTATTTTGCTACATGGTTGAAGGCGGTGGTACCAAGTTGTTCGCCGAGTCCAAGCGTTGGATCTACCGACACCCTGAGCAGTCGAAGAAGGTTTTGCAAAAGATTACGGAAATCTGCGTCGAGTACCTTGCTTTGCAGGTCAAGGCTGGCGCTCAGGTTCGTTTACAAAGCTACTTCTTCAACGGTGATAACCGTACCTGGAAATATCTAAGCTAACACAACTCTGCGTTCCACCGTAGCTCGTCATGGTGTTCGACTCTTGGGCTGGCGAGCACTCGCCGGCTTCGTTCCAGGAGTTTTCCGCGCCCTACCTTCGGTACATCTCACAACACCTTCCGAACCGACTCAAGGAACTCGGGCTCGATCCCGTTCCCATGACCGTGTTCCCCAAGGGCGCTTGGTTCGCGCTGGACTCGGTATGCGATCTAGGCTACAATGTTGTCGGTCTTGATTGGCTCCGAGATCCGCGCGAGGCAGTGCAGATCCGTGGTAGCCGACCTATCGTCTTCCAAGGTAACGCCGACCCCGGCGTGCTATACGGTACGAGGGAGGCCATCACCAAGGCTGTTGAGAACATGGTAGAAGGCTTTGGCGGGGGCAAGAAGGGCTGGATAGCAAACTTGGGTCACGGTAAGCTCGTTCCCCCTTCCTATCTCCAACTCAGAGCCTTGCTCACAAGTCACTAGGAATTACACCCGGCGTGAATCCGGAGGACCTCAAGTTCTTCTTCCAGGAAATTCACCGTTTGACCTCCTCGTAAGGAACAGAGCTCATGAATGCGAGCTGATTGCTTAGGTATTTGTGAAACTCGTGTAGACATGCATTCTGTTTGTGATGCCGCGAGTCATAATCGCATTAAGATTTGGGAAAGAAGTAAAAAGTTACATACATCCATCCAATCAATACAATAAAAACCATCCGAGATACAGCGTTAAAAAAGTACAGGTTTGATAAGCTGGCCATCATATGAATTGAGTACAAAAGTCGTTCAAGGCAAAGGGTTTGCACTACTTGGGGCGAGAAGGAGGGCCCATAAAAAACACCGGTTATAAAAAGAACTTTTCTTCCTCCATATTATTCAACAAGGGACAGTGGTGGTATCATATTTCGCTTTTTCAAAGTCAACGCTTCATCCAGAGCAACTCCCGGCTTCAAGAGAGGAAAAGGAATAGGGAAAAAACGAGAGAGAGAAAAAGACAAAAGAAAAGACTGGCGTTCAGGCGCAGAGTAGATGTAGGCGGAGGTATAAAGCAAACACCGCAAAAGGGGTTGGGTTTCGTCAAGGAAAGGCAGGTAAATCAGTCGAACTCCGATTCAAGTTGGGGATCGTAACAATCGGTCGAAAGGAATGGCCGATACCGAAGATAGTGTGAAGTGAGTTGGTGGGCGGGACGCGAGAGATGGGTCGGCATGGGCAACAGCTAGCGGCGAGTATTTACTTCCTGCTACGAAGCCACTTGTTGGCGAATGAGAGATCAAGGCTCTTGACGCTCTTGCCAGAAGAGGTGTCGTCCACGGCGTACTCGGCGGACTTGCTTCGCGTCAGCTCGTCGTTGTGGAAGATGTTACCAGCACCACCACGACCAGCGTACACGGCGCCGGCGCTTGGTCGACGGACAACACTGTTTATAAAATGTTAGCAACTAGTTGACCTTGATGCTTGCACAGTCGCATGGGGTGAAAATAGCGAGTATTTGGAGGAAACTTACGGTTCAACGTCTTGACGAAGACGAGCCTCCTTGGGGTCGTTGTTGGAGGCCATGTTTCCGGAGCCACCACGGCCGGTGGTGTAAACCGAGGTCTTGAGGGTTGGCGTCTGGAGGTCTTTGTAGGAGAGGGGAGAAACGGGGTTGTTGGACATGTTGCCCGCGCCGCCGCGACCGTAGGAAGCGATCATTTTGGATGTGGTTGTAAACGGGAGGATGGGAGAGGGTTGGAGGGGTATATTTTGTTTGGAGTCGCGAAAGACTTTGAAGTTGCGAGGGTGGGTATCTTCTTGTAGACGGAGCTACTTGTAGGACGTGAGATGGGAGAAAAGAATATTTAAAAGAAGATCTGACTGATTCCAAGATTCTCTTGAAGGTAGCTGCTGGAGTTTGCGGAGGATGGTGAATGCTTTGGTTGTCTTGAAAGTGGAACGAAAGAGTTGATCGGGGACAATGATGAGGCCGGCGGCGGCGGGTTATATCGACTTCGGTTTCACGATCCCGGGAAGACGAGAGGCCTGACTCCCTCAGCCTTCACTTGCCCCCAAAGGGAAAAGAAAAAAACTGCCTGCAAAGCTTTTCCTCGTGGATACAGGTACGGACCAGTGCTTTGGCAACCAGGGCTGTTTACCTGAGCTGAACTAGTGGCACCAGCGCTTTCCTCTCTTTTTCCTTCTATTCCACATGTACACTAATTGTACCATTTCCCACTGTGCTTTGTCCTGTTCTCCTATTGCCCCTCTCAATCCAGAAGAAGACTCATGCCGCCCAGCTTCCAGATCACACGGGCACGCAATTTTTTTCTCCACCCACCCCAGAACAGGAACATCCGTGGGTCCATGTACTCAATTGGCACCAGCACGCAAGCGCCTAAAATGGGGCACCTGAGAATGGGAAGGGGGATGGCGGATGGCGGATGGCTGATGGCCGGGCTTTTCTTGGGATTGGGAGAAATTAGAAGAAACAAGGGCGCCTTGTTTTTCACCGAGGCGGGGAAACGGGGCCACCTGGTCTCCTCGTGGTGCGTGTTTCTGCGGGTTTGGGGCGCACCTGCGTCTCCGCAAGGGGGAATGTGACCACTCCAGGTCGCGGGAGCTCCTTGCGACAAGTTCGCCGGTGCGCTTCGCCAGGCGATTCTAGGTATTGTGACAGGCCTGGGACGAAGGTGCTTAGGGTGCCAAGGTGCTGGGCAGTGGGTGCCCCTGGTTTTGTGAGTTTTGGTATTGACAAAAGGAAACGTAATGAACCCCGCAGTCCTTGACACGAGTATTGGACACAGTGGGCAACAATGCTGGGCCTGAGGATGATGGCATTGGCATTAGCATTGGCGTTGACATGCGCAGTGGCCTCAAGCCCTCAACAAGGAATCTGATCGATCGATCCCCCTTGGGTCATTCAGGGCTGTTCAATGAAATGGGGCAATGCACAAGATTGTTCTCGAAGAAGAAAACGCGAGAATTGAGTTGGAGGAAGACCAGGGGAGTTGGGTTGGTGCCACCACTTGCGCACACCATCGACGCCATCGACTTCGTTTGCGGCGTGCTCGCCTCCTACCGAGAACCATCTATTGATCCCCTCCATTCGCCAATTCATTCTTGAGTGAGAAGAAGTGCACAGAGTAGGTCAATTGATCTTGGCTCAATTACCCAAATGGTTCCATGGCCCAGTTTCAAACTTACGAAAATGTTGAAAAAAAAGATTATACAACCTTGAAGGCGCCGCGTCAAGAAGTCAACACGGGGAGGGAACACGAAGAGCTGGGGAGAAACTTGACCTGGCTAATTCAGCACTCAAGCGACTTACACACAGCCGGCTCGGGGCCCGAGAGAGGCGCCCCGCACCGGCAATGAGAGAACAATGCACAATTATTCGCAAGCGCACACGTGAATCGGTCTTTGGGTGTCTACGCCACGACGAGGTTTAGAGAGGAAAAGCAAGGACAACACCCAAGACAAGGGGCAATTTAGCATCCACAAGCAAGGTTGAGCGTCGCAATTACTGCATAGGCATTCGGCGGGGGATGTGTTCGTCACATCGGCCGGGGGAGGAAGAGAGGCAGGAAAATTCATCAGGTCCATTGATCCAGATCCATTGATCCATTCAATTGCGTTTTCAGTGAAGTGCCCCTGTCTGTTGGCTTAGCCCTAGAGAACCAGACCGCCTTGGGAATTTGCACTGTCGACTTTGCTTATGCTGACCCTGATGGCAACACCAAAGCGATGAGGGGCAGAGGGCAGAGGGGAAATGTTTTTCTGCCAGAATGGAGCTCGACAGTTTCGAGCTCCACAAGCACAAGGACCATTTCCGGGGCACAAGCTCAACTAGACATGCGGGCATGTGGAGCTGAGGGTGGGTATGAAGCCATCAAGTTGAACCAACAGTCGCCAAGGGCCAAGGACGTGTGACGAGGACCCCAGCAAAGTTGTTGAAAAAAAAATGAAAAAAAAAAAAAAAAGGGTTTAATTTTTTTCTTCTTTTTGTTCTCCCACATCAAGTGGAGGCCGATGAGCCCGAAATCCGTCAATACTGCGCGGTAGAGTTACCGAAGAAATCTTCCCCTACTCGAGACTTTGCATTGTTCTTAGCAGATGTCTCGCTGCTCAACACGAAGATCGCTTGTTGACTGGTCGCAATCTACCACTAACTCGAGCCGACGGGAATAATACGATGCGACGGCAAGTCATCCGATGCCGTAAAAGAGTCTACTAGTCCTTTGCATGAATGCGAGTGCTGCCCCTCTGGGTGGAACAAGAAGAAATGATGGGGATGGCATGAGCGCACCTCACCTCCAGAGCTGCTTCGCGCAATGAGCCGACGCCCTATTATTGCTCCCACACAGCATTTACCAGATCCCAAGTCAGGTCGACTCCCTGTTGGGTGGGATGGTTCCACTTCCCTGTCCGTGTTCACACAGTCCATATTACCTCGTACATTAAATTCTGCCTTAGCTCGCTTTTAGTTGTGCGGGGAAGAGGGTCGCACCACTTGCCCTCGCTATTTTAGGCTTTTGCTAGTGACAAAAGCAGGAGGATCGCAAGGAGCAAGGGAGCAAGAGGGGGCCCCATGGTGAAAAAAATTGAAGGGAAAATTTTTTTCGGGCTGGGCGTCATTGACCCTCGTGCAGGGTGCATCTAATGGATTGATGTGGGAACTGGCTTGCTCACCTTCCTTAAAGCTTCTCAGACAAGACATGGAAATTGACCAATCCATGCACTCGTCCGGATTAGTGGCTTGCGCGAGGAAAAGAATGGAGAAAAAAAGAAAGGTCCCCGGAAAGAGAAAAAATCTCGAGCTCTCGTGGTCTCTCTCCCCATGCCCGCCTGCTTGGCTCTAGGTCCCAGGTCATCGAATCTGGGCTCCAAGACCAGGGTCCGCAGAGGGTTCAGGCTTCCAGGGGCACCTCCCGCTGGACCTGGCCGAAAACAGAGCTTCATCAGGGCTGGTGACATCCTCCTCCCCACTTGCCGGCATTCGCGGGAGAGTCAGAGGACGGTGCAAGCGGACGGTGCAAGTGGACGCACAAGCGTTGCTTTAGCAGCCGCCGTCTCGTCGTCATCTTGTCATCGGCGGCCCCTTTGCTCACTTGCATGCCGACGAGTCAGCTTGCTCCATCTGATGCTCGTGGCCTCAGCAGGTGACTCTACATGACAAGGATTGGTTTGGAGCTTGGAGCTCCACGTCACAGTTTGATGAAGCACTGGTAGTTTTTTTCTTTCCCTCTCCATTCAGCACGCTCCCTTCTCCTTTTCCCTTCTCCTTTTCCCTTCCTCTTGTTCATGTCTTCTCCTTTTCTCGACAATTCCTAACAGCCGCCATTCTCGCCGAACGTGGGCAAACTCCATTGAATGGCCGGGCATGGCCCCTTCACGACCGACGATATCCAATTGGTGTCTTGGACCTCGTCATGTGTCTTTGGCTCCGGTGTGGCACGCCACCGGACCCCTGTAGGGAACAACACAGAGAGTTCGGTTAATAGGGGCACCGGGTCAAACCGAAAACTTTGCACTCCCACCTCAAGCACCTGAATGGCGAATCCGTCCAAGACATGCCTTCGCTGGCAATAGCTTTCTCGGGCCAAGAAGGGGAGACTGCCGCTTTTCTCCTCTTCTTCTTCCTCCAAACAGGCTACTGTGAGGGGTAGATGGAGATCTTGGGGTCATGTGTAAAAGGAAAGACAGGGGAGGAGATGGAGAGGGAGAAGGAGAGGGGGAAGGAGAAGGAGGAGGGGAGAAGGCCTCCCCAACTACACTCTAGTCAGACATTCACCTTGAGCTCTAGCTGTTCGAGACGCGTAACGAGCATTCTCGTTCCCAGTACGTTAAACATACGAGGGAATACATCAAGCGACTTAAGGGCGAAAGGCTAGGGAAGCCACAAATGCTTATGATCAGGCTTTTTCGCTTGTTCTAAAAGCTCTCATCGCGAACCGTAGGCTCTCGCACCTCAAGGGGCTACGCATCTGTCCCATGGCTTTTGGAGGAGGGAACTATAAACCCGCGAGAGTGAAATTATGAGTGCGGTGACATACCAGCTCTTCTGAGGTAGAAGCCGTCCGGATCAATGCCGGCAACGGCCCGCGGCGGACACTCGGGGATAGTTTCATCCACTCCACGGTAGCCGGCTCGCGCTCACGGACATCCTCCCGCCGCGGATATGGACTGCCAAGCCCCGAACGGCGTACGACAATCCATGGCGCAGGATTCGGTAGGTGGGGCGTTCTTCCCAGCGCGGCCCGATCCTGGGATTTGCCCAGTCCGGCCGGCGCGGAAGCTGAAGTGATGCGGAAGCGGGTCGAGGTTTCTCCGATGCCGCATCCGCAGGGAATCCAAAACGCCGACTCGACACCATATCTGAAACTCAACAGTTGTTGCGCCGCTTCGTGCTTGTCATATCTTAAGAGCGAAGAATCGGAGGAGGCAGAGCATTACACCAAGTCTTGCAAAGGACCCTCGTCCCCCATGAATTACGTCGGGTAGCACTCACGAGTGTAATACCCTACTCCGTGGATGACCTCGAGCTTCGCCTGTTGGTCTTCGAGGATCGCCCCTTCGGAATAAGTGGGGGAGGGGGGAAATGCCAGGCTTGCATGTATCACATCGAAACACTAAAAAGGAAAGAGTTGGTTGTTAAGTCGCTGTCAGTCTTGAATTTGGATCGGCCAGGAGGGGGCGATAACCCTGGCACCGCCAGAGGATGAGAGGGATACCTGGTGCAACATCCATTAACTTTCTCGGTGTAATTGGGTGTAATTGCGATATTCAACCCCTGGACCGGGCCTTTCCTTGCAAAAAGAACCCAATTCTGCTTTTTCTTCGCGGAAACCCTCGAATCCATGTCCTGTCCTACCCTGCCCTCGTTTGACACGAAGAATGGCTTCCCCGGCGTCGGTCTCAGCACCAGCATCGGATGCTCGTTGATGAGTCCTGTTGGTGGCTTGCTGCTTCCTCGACAAAGACAGAAGGGCCCCATCTCCCCCAAACAAGCAGATGCAGAGGCAACCATCCCTGCGAAACAGATGATAAACCTCGTCAGGCGGCGCTATCCTTGTCCGTTCGGCACTGGAGCTTTGACTTGACAAGCATATTTTCCGGGGATAAGCAGCGGTAGTCGGCGTTGATTGGTCCGTTACCCTGCCCGGCACCCCAACCGCCTGCACCCTTTTATGCTTCCCCGCGAATAAAAATGTATCAACTGCAAGGTGATGGCTGGATGGCCTCTCGCTTGCCTCCCCTTGCGGTTGTGAGATAATAAAGACTGACAGAGGGAAAGGCCTGGGTGCTTGCGCGTCAGACGTCCGTGTGCGAGACTTGCCTTGGATGCATGTATGGTACGAGGCCAACAAAGGTAGCCTTCCCGCCTTCATCGTTGTGGCCCTCTCCTGTTTTCCTCTTTCAAATGAAAAGATTATTGCTGTGTAAGAATGGTTGTTGTTCTCTCAATGCTGTATCGCCGCGAATCCGTGATCTGAAATATCACTCGGCATAATAAGCGTACGCCCCGGCGCCGGAGGTGTGTTGCCGCCGTCTTTCCCCCTTCTTTCTCGTTCGAACTGCTGAGACAAAATAATTAAAGAACGGAATCGGACCAAGAAGAGAATTATTCTTGATTTTTAAGGGAAAGAGAAGGAAAAAGAAATCCTTGGTGGGCCAATCGTCACCACCATCGATTGATGTCAACACCATCCGACTCGGTGGAGCTCAGCCTCTACAACCAGCGCAAACATGACCCCAACGACCCGGACGACCTTCCCATCTGGGCGCCCATATCACGCCCTTCCTTAATGATATGTCTATACGTCATTCCCCCTTTGATGACAGCCATTTCCGTTGCCGAAATCGCTTTAAGGGCCGCGGCGCCCAGGAGGGGCAGGGAAACCAATTTCGTACGGTGGACGGACGACGAGAGAGACGGCTTCATGGCTGATTGGCCCCAGTCCTTATATCCCCATGAGGATGAGCTGCCGATCGCCTCGGCAGCACTTTCCATCGCTGTATCACTTTTGGTCCTTGGTCTCGCCGTCGACGTGGCCAAGAATGGCCCTATCAAGGTGTGTGTGTGTGTGTGTGTGTGACAGGGACTTGCGGCCTCAAGGTGTCCGTTCCGAGAGAATCGGGTGCGGGAGAGGGCCCAGCTGCGGGTAGAGCCTATCGACGTATCAGTTTGCTAATCAAAAGATCGCTTTAGACGACGTACTGGGCCCGTCTGGCTTTGGTGAGCACTCTCGTGCTCAATGTCATCTTGGCCATGGCGTCCGCCATCTATACCTTCGCTCTCAACTCCAGATCCGCCCACCTCAGGCTGGAGCGCATGCTAGCCCTAGCCCGGATCGCCAGGGACACCCTTGCCCCGAATAACCGACCCGTCTTCACGTACGACTTGGGGATCTTCTCTCGCGAAATGTGGGGCTGCGAGGCGAAGGAGTTTTCGGAATTCGACGCCAGTCTGGGCGGGGCCATGAGTAGAGCTTGCGGCCTGGGGACCGGCGCGAGGTGGCTCTCCCTCATCACCTTCCTGCTGGCCACCGGCCTGTCCACAGTAGTATTGATGGATCACCGAGGTGGTGGATACTTTATGCAGTCGTGGAAGAGGAGGCGAGAAGTTATGCGAAGCGATGGCCGACCTGCCTGAAGGGGCGCTGCCTTCTGATACGCAGCCATGCTGCTTTTTCTGTTTCTCCCCTCCCCCCTCCTCGCCCTTCCTGCATCCTCCCCTCCCGTACACCTGGCAAGATGCGGTTGGGGATCGATGTTTTTGTTTTCACTCCAGGAAGGACTTAATGGTGAGCGTCATATAGCCGGGGGAGGGGAGGGGAGGGGTCCTCTCGTGCGAAATGCCATGACTCGAGTGGCCTGTCCTCCCGCGCTCCTCTTTGGATCACCCGTGGTTACAGCACCGTTACAACACGCCTATATACCACGCCTATAGCCGGCTGGCCTAGACAAGCAGGCCGCCGCCTTCGCCGCCGCCACCTCACGCTGCTTCCTTTATTCCCTTGGTTCGGCCGGTTGAGGTCGAGGACGGGACGTGGAACGCGAATCAGTTTGCTCATAGATGGCTTTCAGGGTCCAATCCTCTATCCCCACGCCCACACCATTGCCTCTCATCAAGGTCTTGCTTCCGGCTAGCTCGCACATCCCCTCTCCTTTGAGGAGAGACTCTCACCACTCACGGAGGAGCCTTCCGCTTCTGGGACTGCATGTATACTATCAAAAGGTGATACATCTTCCTAAGAACGCAAGTCGGTCGCCTCTAGAGCATGCAATATCCTGTTTTCGTGCAAATGTTGTTCCACTCCAGTGGGGATGATCCCTTTCGAGTCTACCATTGGATTCGAAATTCTGGGTCTTCATGAGGGTCTCTGACCAACGAAGAGATGTGAAAACGTACAAGGGGAAAAGAAAGGGGAAGGCAAGAGCAAAGTCAGGGTAGATAGGTAGAAACGAGGGATCAGGGCTGATCACCGACCACGCGCACATAAACACAAACACGCAATCACGGATCTCCAGTTGCTCTCCTAGTCATATTCGGATCCCGCACGCCCCCGCTACATCTCCAAAAAAAAAAAAAAACGACACCAGCACATCTTGCTTTGCCCGTGTTGCCCCTCTCGAGAGCTCGACGCATTTGTTCTCTGGTGCTCGTTCAAGGCTGTCTCAGCCTCCCTTGATCCAGCGATCTCGGGATGCGCGCCGAAGATATCAAGAGGAATCGGGAATCAGAAACATGCGCCGTCCATCAACCAACCCAAATAAACGCAAACGCACGGCGTCAGCCTCGTAAGATCCTCACAAACACCACGTTCCAGGGGAAAGGCCGGAAACAAGCTGATGAATTTTGTTCGCGTTCAGTTCCCCTTGCGTCGACAAGCTTGCGGTGGATTTTCCTTGGCGTAGCACTCCGCCCTCGAGTACGACGCTCACCTCTTACCTTCTCTGCCTAACGTGCTATGCGTTTGTATCGCATCTACCCGGGTGGGCTAGAAATGCGTCGCTTCCCGGTTTCTAGAGCTGTGCGGCGTAAGCGAAGGTTTTGGTCGCCCCTTAGGGAACCGCTGGTTATCTACTATCTCTGCCACAGGATATCATACACATGGCAACTCCGAGGAGGGGAGGGGGTGACTGAGTTGAAGGCGCGATGTAATCTGCACAAACGCTAGCTGGATAGGAACTAAAACAAGCCCCATTTCTTGCACAAGAATACTAAGCACTGATAAATGAGAAACATCGCCTGGTAGCTAATGGGCCCCTTAGCTAGGCGCTACGGTACATCAAGTTACCTTGAGCTTTATGGCTATCAAGGTCTACGGTCACGAACAGACGTAGGGGAAAGGGCAGACGGATGGAGGAGGGCTGAGGCGGGTTAGGGTTTGCAGTAAGTATGGTGCTCCAAGAAGCGCGGGGGCCAAATGTTCGCGAATGAGTGGAAGGAAGGGATCTACCGTTGAGACTGGTTCGGCTTCGGGATGGTCGCATTAGCGAAGCCCCAGGGAAGACGGCCATCGGTTTATCTTTAGTTGCGATGCCCTATGTCCTTGAAACTCGGGTCCAGGGTAGAGGAAGGCGATGTTCGAGGAGGGGAAGGCGAAAGGGAACAATGCTTGTGGGAAAACAATAATAGATAGAAAGAAAACGACAGCTCGCACTTGCACATGGTGGAGACGAAACTTGGTCGAGACAACCGGGGAAATGGCCCTCACTTTTGTTTCTTGTAAGCGAGTCTGATGGACCAGGAAAGTTGAAGTCCGGGATAGGAACGGGAAGGAGAGCTCGGGAGAGAATCCAAATCATGGTTTTGCGGACGTGTCACCACACACCAGGTTCGTGGACACGGCAATGGGCCTTGAGCGGCCAGGAGCCCAAGGCCGAAAAAAGAAAACAAAATGACTTCAGAGCAAGGGGATGGGTATCCGGGGACCGAGGAGGGCTGTCATGGGTAGCGGTCGCGCATGATTTTCGTAAGAAACCAGAAACTGTGTGAGTTTCCTTCCAACACCAAGCCGCGTGGGCGTCGATCATAGTTCGGGGCTCTTATGAAGGGGTTTGGCTGCTGTCGTTGCCAGCGGTCCTCCGCAGGGCTCGGCCTGCTCTCATCCTCAGTGCCGAGGGATACGGCCGGAAGAAGGGGTTAAGGCGAGGATGCACTAAAAGCGCGAGAGTCGCTGTCTCCTTGGGCCTCTCGGAAACCTAAATTCTTGATATCTTACTTGTATTATGCATCCTTCCAAAAAAAGAATGACGTCTATGTTTGGCACCGGGGGAGTAGGGAAAGGAAGGCTGGTTGAAGGGGGTCCGTAATCAGGGGCCAACTAAAGGCCTAGCCGTCTGTCTCAGTCGATGACGAAAACAGAAGGAAGTGCAGGGAAAATAGGTGGGAAGGGGAGTTGAGATGAGCAGCTTCTGGAAGCCCGTGTGTATCGGTTCCTCCGGGTATTCCGGAACGACTAGCATGGTGCGAAATGTCATGCAGATCTGCATCAGTGCTAGGGCAGGGGCCGACCTAGGATGGCGCTGAGAAGAATTCTGGAAGGTCTCAGATCGCCTCGAGGGGGATGGCAATGACTTGGACTTTGGATGACTGGCAGGGCGGTGAGGTGAGGACCGAACACCCGCGACTTTCTCTGGCACGAGCGCGGGGAAGGTACAGTGGTTTCCACTTTTACGCTCGGTGCCTGGTGAGCAGTGGAGGGCAAATTATCGCCAGGTCAGTTGGGCGTCATGGCAGCTCGCCCGGGTTCGCAAGCAGCCACTCGAGAGGACGTGAAGGGGTCCGGGTTACGTATCCTGGTCCTGTTGGCTCTCGTTAGTATCAAGAATGCACAAAGCTCCAATCAACGTAGCCGTGTTGAGCAACCACCAACTCTTGGGTGACATGGCTTCAAAAGCGTTAATTGTTCCCATCTTGCATTGACCACAAACGTTACGGCCAGGATGGAGGCACACGCCCGCGGCTGTTTGTGCAATCATCAATCGATGAATTTGGAATGGCCAATTGACTCGACCCAGCTTTTTCTAGGTGGGAGGCAGTCTTCGAAGCAACGTTTGATACATTCAGTACTGTAAGCTCGTCGAGAGCTCGTCCAGTTCACCAAAAGCGGCCGGAAAGGAGACTGGGGAAGCCAGGACTATCTGGTCGATTGGACAGTAACGATGGCTCATGGTCCACGGGCTTATTGACCGCTCCCCATTCCCATTGACGGGTTATTCACCAGACTATCCATTCAACGCCGTCTCATCTGTGGAGGATTAGACTAGTCGAGGTCTCGCTACTGTTTAGTCTCTTTCTTATACTGCCGTTATCCATGGCTATGTCTCCTGGGGTTGAACTAGTCATCCCTAGCGAACAGCCTCCAACCGGCTTCGACGGCGAAATATCCGTCAACGATACGCATCGCGCGAGAACGCGGGAGTGCGACGGACGACACGAGCGATCCTGGGGCGCTAGGGTGGTGGGAAGTGCACCCCGGACGGTGGTTTGGCTGGCCATCGATTATCGTCAGGGTGTTCTGGGCGTCCCCGTCCTTTTCGAGAGGCAGGCGCGCCCCACCCAACCTCGAAGTATCTCTTGTTACAACCCGTTTGGTGGCATCATCACTCAATCCGGCCATATCTACGGCCTTGATGATGCCATTGGATGGACCATGACAGCACCATAGCGTCCTCGTACTCTGTCGCTAGAATAGTGTCGAGAGGAAGAGAGCAGACAGCGAGGGGTCTGGAGGATTCTAGATGGGCCAGGAGTTATCACCCGAGACGCTGACCGACTATTAGCATGTCGCCTGGGGGCAATCATCACGTTGCACTACCGTGGTAAGCTCCCAAGTACCTCGCCCAAATAGACCACATCTAACATGTGAGTACGTCTCGTGTCTGCCGCACGTCGTGCGGAGTAAACTCCTTTGAGCTTTTATGTTCGATTTCGTTCTTCTCGTCGCATTCGGCACGTCTCATTCTTCTGACTCTGTGTCTCTAACTTTGACTCTGTGTCTTTTTCTTTTTCCCCTTTCATTTTTCAAGGTCACTCCTCTGGGTAGCCCCTCATACTGGACGTTCCCGGCAGATCAGGCATCGTTGTCGTAGTCGCAGCGCAAGCCAAACCACCTTCTTCCTTATTCGTTCTTCTTCTTTTTTTTTTTTTTTGGTCCATCTCCATACCCTTTTCTTGCTAAATCTGGCAGCCCAGTTCAACTTGAAGGGGAGGGGTGGAGTTGACGCTTCATCCAGTTTCGAGCCTGCATGCATGTCCCCGCGCAGGGCCTGGATTCCCGATCCCGCTGCACCTGTCACTGACCTTCCCCACCTTGCCCACCTCCACCACTAAATGTTCCTTCGTCCCTTCTTCAAAGCCACCAATCCACCTGTTCTGGCCGGATTGGGAATGCGCTTTCATCCTCCAGCGTCTGTCCGGACGGAAGAGGAACTCTCCTGCCAGGGCTAGCTCGGAATCCTATTTCTCGAGTGAACGTGACTCCACAATGCGTGGACCGTTACAGCATTCAAGTACCAGGAACGCCGGGGGTATTTCGCGGGGTCCGACAGCTATCAAATTTGCCACAGCGGGATGGAGCTTATGAGTCGCAACGGTCATTTCAAGGTCAGCTCGAAATTTCCAGCTGGGCTTGGCTCGGTCAT